CTGAACCAGGCCTCAAGCCAGCTCTTCCCCTTCCTCTGCCCTCACCCAGCACTGCCTTGCAGCAGAGGCTCCAGGCTCCAGGGGGACAGCAAAGCTGCCTGGGTTTGAGGGTCACCTCCACCACTTACTAGCACTATGACTTTGGCCCAGTTGTGTAACCTTGTGGGCCTTAATTTTCTCCTTCATCTTGGGATAATTCTAGTGCCCTAGGATATTTATGATGATTAAAGTGAAGTCATTTTTAAGTGGAAAACGTGTAGTCCACAGTAAGTGCTCAGTGAAGTCTTCACTATTGATAAAACCAGTCCCTCCGCAGGGCCCTCCAAACTCTGGAGCCATCCTGGAGACTTGAGTCCTTGGCTTTCAGATGTCCAGATGATCTGGAAGGAGAAGGAGAGGGCAAAGTGTTGGCCTCTAGCTAGTTAGAACATCAGTTGGAGAAACCAGGCAAGGCCTGGAAGCCTGGTATCCAGGGCCAACGGGCTGGGGAGTCAGAAAAACAATGCAAGTTCTTCTTAAAGCCTTCCCCCAATTGCAAGGAAAGCTTAGCCCAAGCCCAGAGCTACAGAGCGTCCAGCTTTGGGCACGAGAGTCCAAGTGGTGCAGAAATGGGAAAGAGGAAGGCCACATGCTCTGTCATCTGATGAGATTTGCAGCTCTGGAGGAGACCTAAGGATCCTGACTCACCAACCAGCTTCAGCCTCATCCCCTGCCCCTCCTAGGCCCCAAAGCAAGACTGACATTTGCTTTTTGGGCCCAGAAAGAACAGAGACAATGGCTGCCTGGTGGCTGCAGTTTGAGAGACAGCAGACTGTCTATCCCATCTCCACAGCTGTCCTCCTACCTGCCCCAGAAGAGAGTGGGTGGGAGGAAGGAGCCTAGGGATCATCCAGTCACCAACATCTCACAAAAACGCTGATGACGGTGACGAAGGCCCTGGCTAATCTTGTGCACTTGTGTATTTCTCAAGCATTGTTCAGAGGACTTTATATGAATTATCTTATTTCCTCTCCGTGTTAACCCTGGGAGACAGTATTATTATCACTCTCACTTTCCAGATCTGGGATCTGAAGTTCAGGGAGATGAAATCACTCTCCATGGCCATACAGCTAGCAAGGGTGGGTGTAGGATTGAAGTCCACACAGTCTGGCTTCAGACAGCCCAAGTCTCCCCACTGCTTCTCCCAAAAGCCTTTGTCCCCTGTTGTGAAGATGATACCCAAAGAGAGACATTCTCTGACCCCGCCACTTCAGGCCATGTTGGTGCCCCGTCTTGTGTACCTGAAGCACCCTCGGGTTTCTGGTTTTCTTTTTCCTGTGCTCTTAGCTCTTCCTTCAGGAAGAAGGCGGTCTGGGGATGGCGCAGGGTGCAGAGGAAGGCTGGGTGCTGCTCGGGGTTTCCATGGTAACAGCTTCCCTCATTACCATCTCTGCCTGCTGCCTGAGAGAGCTAAAAGGGGTAGTAAGGTGGGAGAGGGTGAAATCCTCTTTTCCTCTCCCTCCCTCACCTGCCCTGTAGCCTGGTGGCCAGGCTGGACTGAAACCCTGCACCCCACCAACTTGCTGGACTGACTCCCTCCATCCCAGCTTAGAGGCTGACACCTTGTAGCTGACAGCCCTCCCAGGCAGAATGGTAGTCTGGGCCAACAGCCATCCTCTCCCCTCTCCCTCTCCTAAGGGCTCTGAACTCCCTGAGGAGGACTTCATAGGTCTACACAGATCCTGGCAAGAGTAGATACTCAATAAGTTCTTGTTGAACAGATCGATGATGGACTGACAGATGGACAGACAGACAGATGGACAGGCAAACCAGTGACCCATCCTACACATCCTACACAAATCCTATGCTCCATCTCCCCTCTGTCTTTACAAACGTGGGTCTATCTGTCCACCCCCCCCACCCCACTGCACAGTGCTCACACCTGCACCTTCACATCTCAGCTTGGAGATCACTTCGCCAAAATTCAAAACTTTTGCTCTTCAAAAGACCTCATCAGGAAATGAAAAGACAAGTAACCGACTGGAAGGAACAGTTTGCAAAACTTGCATCTGCTAAAGAGTGGGCTTCTGAGCACCAACAGCAGAAAGAGGTTCTTTGGAATGAAGCTGCCCAATAAGGGCTTCCTGGGTCCTTAAGTCTGGTGGTCTCTTCACCACATTTGTTCTTTTACAGCAACCCCACAGCTGAGTGGCGCTTCCAGTCCTGACTTGGACCTTTCCAGGGAAAACCGACAGGTAGGGAAAGTCTCTCCACAAGTTGCACCACCAGCTGCCTTGGCGCGGGCTCCCCCTGGTGGCCACTGGCGGGACTGTAGTTTACTGCTGGAGCTGATGTAGCCAGGCTCAGGCGACTGCTTCAAGGCGCCTGTTCCCAGGAAGCGCCCTGATGCTATATTCTGATGCTTGGGAAGAAGGCTTACCACTTAGAGTGCACATGTTCAATGCAAAATTTTATAAGTTTCCATTTGGCTAACCATGTTAGTGAGTTCATCAGCGACCTGGGGTAGAGACAATAAGACCCGGTGCAGCCTCCGCTGCTCCCCTAGAAGAGAGGAGCAAAAAGTGGGGTAACTTAGAAAGATGGGCAGCAGGAGACTCCCTGTTCTTGTTAGATGCCAATCCAAAAAGTAGGAATGCAAGAAGTTTTCTTGTTCTCCTCCCTTTACCAGGACTAATCTCATTGTACCCTCCATCTCTATTTTTGTGGGTGAGCCCAAGGACACCCAGGTTCCCAGGCCACCTTCCTTCCCTCTCCATCCCCACCTCCCTGCCCTCCCCAACTCCCCAGATCATTGCACTGTGCCCCCGGAAATCCACATCCGCTTCTCATTTGGCAAGTCTTTGTGGGCTGCTCCTGTGTCCCGGGCATCGTTCTGATACATCTCAACCCCCTGGCTCCTCTGGACAGCCCTGTGAAGTGGGCATCAGCAGCTCTCACCATCCCCATTTGACAGATGAATTAAGTGAGGCATGGGGAACTTGAGTACCTTGATCAAGGTCCCCAGTGAGCAAGTGTGAGAGCTGAGATCAGTGTGGTTGGGCCCTAAAGCACAGATGCCCCAGCTCCTCTGCCTCTTCACTTTCTTTGAAACCTCAACTCCCCTGAACCAGCCTCTCACGGAGCGGCTGTGTCTCCCCCCAACACCGCTGCCAAAGGGCGGAGAGACTTCGTTATTACTTCTCTGCAACTCTTCTTCCTCTCTTCCCCTAATGCTCCTGTCTTGGAACTGTGGGGGTCAGCCTAGGTATACCACTGACCCACTTCACTATGGTCATCGACTGCTGCCCTGGTCACTGGCCCCCGCCTTGAGCCCCTCTCTTCCCTCTGCGTCTCTCCTTCTGTGATCCAGGCCCTTGCTCCTGAGAGACATCTGGATGCTGGTAGCCTCTGTTGCACAATTGTGTCTCCTTTCTCTTCTGAGCTGCACACTCGGCATCCATCTGCCCGTTCCACGTCTCCCCAGCATGAGCCCCTGACCACCCACCCACCCTCGGCTCTCCCTGCCCTGCTGTTCTCGTCTTTTCTATCAATGACTGCAACTCCATTTTTTCCAGGCTTCGGCTAGAAACCTTAGATATCTTTGATTCCTCTCATTCCCTCAAATTCTCCATCCAGTGTACCAGCACATCTTCAGGCTCCAGGTTCCGTGTATCTGACCCTTCCCACCACCTCCGCTGCCCCAGCCCAGCCCAGGCTGCTGTTTTCTGCCTGGACCCTGACTGCCCTCTCTGTGTCTCTGTTGGGACCTCCCTGCCCTCTCTGTTCTCAGCCAAAGTGATCCCTTTAAAACCTAGGTTACTTTCATGCCATTCCTCGGCTCAACGCCACCTCCATCCGTCTCCCCTGTCCATCCACAGGTCTGTCTGTCTTCCCTCAACTCCCTGGGCCAGCTCTCACCCAGGGCCTTCGTCTCTGCCTGATATGGGCTTCCCCACACCCTTTCTGTCCTCCAGACCTCGGTCAAGTGCCACCACCCTCTAGCCAGGCCTTCACTGACCCCTCCCTGCCCATTCCTCCCCACTAGACTCCTACAAGGAAGGGCTTTTTATCTCTTGGGTTCGCTGTGTATCACCAGCCTCAGGTCTGGCACAAAGCAGTTGCTCATCAAGTATTTGAAGGAAGGAATGAGGAGGCTTCTCCTCTTGAATGGGAATAATGAGGCTCCAGGGGAAGGGGGGGCCTGGAGCCAAAATAAAAGCTCCTGACAGTGCAGAGCAGTCCTGCAGATTGGTTCAGGCAATGATCGGGTGCCTCCGGTTTCACCCACTCTTTTCCACACTCTTATCCATGGCTGGAAAGTACGGATGCCTGTGACCACCCCTCTGCATTTGAGTCTTACCAAGATGCCCAGCCTCTCTGGATGGGCTGTGGACCTGGGTAGGTGCTGATCGCCCCGGTTCCCAGGCATGTTTGTAAGATATAGGGACCTTTCCCAAGTCACTCTTCTGTGCTGGGCACACTGCATCCTTCAGGCCCAGATACTGGATCAGAGAATTGCAAAGGATAGAGGTGATCGACAGCAAGCCCCATCTGCTTGGGCATCCTGTGAACACATGGTTTGTTTTCCAACTTGAACTTTTCCACTCTGAGGTCTGAGCTTGCCTTTGTGACATGCATCACTTTCTATATAAGCAGAGCTTCACCGAGGAGTGATAAGGAGACCTCTTGGGATTTGCATTTCACAACTCTTTTTCTTAAGGGATCAAGCGGATACACAATAACTCCCCCAGGGCCCTTGAGCTATTCTGTCATCTGGGTTGGAGGCAGCAGCTAGCTAACAGGACAAGGCCTGTGCCATCTTATGGGCTGGACTTCCTGCCTGCCCAGCATTTCCAGGCTTGGAACTGGTCCCTGGCTCTGATGTGCCCCAGGCCCAGCGTGTCCAGTGTACTCAGGGACCATGACCCCAGTTCCCCCAACATGCCCTGTGTCTTGCAGAGTGAGCCACAGTCTTTGTGTGTGAAGGGAAGACCCCTGTGCTGCCCAGGGAGCCGACCAGGATGTCCACCCCAATGGAGCCCCTGAGCAGCCATGAGAGGATACTCAACATGACATACAGCGAGTGCTTCCAGTCTCGGAGCACCGTCCTCCAGGGGCAGCCGTTTGGGGGGATCCCCACTGTGCTGTTCCTCAACGTCATCTTGTGGATGGTGAGTCTGGGTGCTAGGGGGGTGCACCATGAGGTGGCCGCTGGCCTGGGCTGTTGAACTGAGGATACAGCAGGGGCCCCCGTTGTCCAGTGGATGCTAGCCAGGGATGCGGGCTACCTGGATGTCATCCTACCTGGGGTGGCTCAGACGGGCGAACCTCAGGGGAGAATGCAACAGCGCAGGCAGAATTCCTGGAGTTGTCGTCAATGCTTCGTTGTCCAAAGTCCATCTGGTGGCCACCCCTTGGGCCTTGCTTCCTTCCCTTGCTGAGGACTTTACCACTGCTCTCCACACGCTACCAACTTTTCGCACCCACTCCATTTCAGGAAGCTGCAGGGTACTAGGAATGTGGGGTTCGCAGGGCTCCATCCCTGACAGAACTCACCATCTGGTGGGGGAGCATCCTGGGGACTTCAGGGATAGGAATGCAGGGGACTGCCCAGGGGAAGGGTCCCCTTATTGCTTTTCTGGTCCTGTAGCTCGTCCTCGTGGTTTATTCCTTCCTCCGGAAGGCTGCGTGGGACTATGGGCGCCTGGCTCTGCTGATCCACAATGACAGGTGAGGAGGGCTGGGGTCACAGTGGGTGAGCTCCTTGCGTCCTTGGGAGGGAATGTGCTGTGGAAACCAAGATGCAGCTGTCCCCTGGGCTGGCGCTGCAGCAGGTGGTCCTGTCACCCCTCCCCTGCCCCTGTTCTGCCCCTCCTTGCAGGAAGGGGACTTGGTGGGCCGCCATCTCTGGGCACAGGGCCACATTTTTCTCTGGTCTCAGACTGTCATGCGGCTAATTCCCAAGATGCATGGTGCCCCTGGCCACAGGGGTGATGCGGTCTGTACCCAGAGATCATGTTTGAAGCGTGCCTTCTCCTGGCCAGCAGCCCACAGCCCAGGGAGAGGAGAGGAAGCAGAATAGATGTCTGAGGCTTGTTTCTCAATTCCATATTCCTGTCACCCTTTCTGACTGGCAGCCTGACCTCGCTGATCTATGGGGAGCAGAGTGAGAAGTCATCTCCCTCAGAGATTTCCTTGGAGATGGAGCGCAGGGACAAGGTGAGTGCTGAGAGACAGCTGGCGGCAAAGATCCTGACCCTGGGCAGGTGGTCACGGTAAGGGCAGGAGGGAGCAGGACTGGGCAGAGGATTGCAGCCAGCCGGACTCCACTACTCCGCAGTGTAACCTTGGCCAATTCCTCAGCCTTCCCAGACCCCCCAGAAAGTGGAGATAAGGACCACACCTTTCTCCAGGGTGCCAAGAAGTCTCAGCCTATTATAATACCTTAGATTTTTAAAATGAATTTTTCTTCTTTTCTCAAACCTCTCTTCTCCCTGCCCTTCTCCCCACCCCCAAGGACTCACCTTCCATGTCACGTAGAAGATTCTAGCAGTCAGGAGGCGGCTCCTGCAGTCCCCCCTTTCCCCAGGGATCCCATGTTCTCCTTCCTTTCCTTCCTGTGGAAACAGTCCACCACCTGAACATGTCCGTTCTTCCAGCCAGGTGCTAGAGAGCACCTGCAGTGCACCAGCCCCTGGTCTAGGAATGGGGAGCCAGCAGGGAACACCACAGACCATATCCCACCTCTGGCACGTCCTTCCAGGCTGCAGAGACACCCAGCCAGATGCATGTGGGGAGGGAATGGGTGTGCGGCGGAAATGCCTGGAACCATCTGGCAGCCATAGGAGGAAGCTGTGTTGCAGCTGGCAGCCATGGATGGTCTTGGGCAGAAGGCAACATTTGAGTGGAGACCTGGTCAGTGGGAGGGAGCCCAGAGGACTTCTGGTGCCCTTCACAGCTCCAGCTGCCTGTGTCCCCCAGGCCACCTCAGCTGGCCTCCTCGCCACCACCCACAACCCCGCCCATGGGGCATTTACCCTCTCTTTCCTCCTGAGCCCCAAGGCTACAGTGGTCCTCTGCACCGAGTCCAATAGCCTTTCCTTATCTTACCCCACGTCAGAATGCCCGGCCTGACAGGCTCCTTCCTCCTTCCTCCTTCTGATTGCTTCTGTGATGTCATGCTTTGGGGGTTTCTTCTCCCTCTGTCTCCTTTGCAGGCTCCTCCTCCACACCTGGAGTCCCCCCAGCTGATCCCAAACCTCCTCCTTCTCACCCTCTCCTGAGCAATGACAGCTTCCTTGGCTGTCGCCACACTGAGACCTCTAAGTTCTATCTCCATCTAATTCTGTCTCCGGATGGCCTTGAAAATGGCCCCGCCTGGATACTGTCCAGGCATTTTGAATTCAGTATGCCCAAAACATTCCACAGTAAGACTCCGCCCACCAGTTCCTAGTCTCTGTCCGAGATCCTCCCCGTCATCTGCCTCTCTCACTCCCCCCCCCCCCGGGCCCCTGCTGTGATCCATTTGCCCACCCTGTTCGGTTGCTTTTACCTTCCAGTGTTTTTCTCCATCCCTCCAGCTGGCCCCACCCAGACTTCAACCAGTCTCTCTTTGGGTGGCCAGAGCAGCTCTAACCACCCTTAGGTCCTACTTCCCCCTACTCATCCATTTCCCACCTGCATCCTAGACATCCCCATGAAGGGGGACACGGAATGCCCTGTGTGACTCCTCAGCATAGTCCTGATGCTCTGGCAGTAAGTTGCAGGTGCCTTGGCCTGGCCTGGTGGTTTGGTCTCTTTCCCCACTGTCCAGCCTGTCTCTCTTCTCAACACCCCCACCCCCAGCTAATCGGTCACCCTTTAAACCTCAAGAGAGCGTCCTCCCTCCCATGCTCTCCCCTCGCCCTTTCCCAGGTGGCTGTTCTTTGTCACCCCATCCTTTGTTTAGATTTCAGCCCAGGCACAAACCCCCAGGGACCCAGACCTTTTGATGTATGCACATAGAAAATGCAGGTTTTCTTTAACTTCCGTAACTCTGTCTAGCATGACCGGCTTCTGCACCAGCAAGAAGTCTTGAATGTCTGCCCGCCCCAGTGAGATCAGGCAGGAGCTTGGCCTTGCTTCCCACCAGGCCCCAAATCCAATCCAGACAGCTGCACGATTCACCTCAGATACAGGATTGTTGCTTGTGCTAAGCCAGATGGCAGAACCATATTCCTGCCCCGATCACCCCTGCAAGAGATCAGGCCCTCTACTTGCCTGGATCTGCCGCATTCAAACTATGAAGCCTCAGATAAGTTACTTCATTTCTTGGAGGCCTCAAAGTGGAGTGAGGACATTAACACCTGCCTTACAAGGTGTTAATACCTTTAGACGCATCATTTTTTTTTTACTTTGTTGTTCTTACAATGACCAAAGGATTATTATTATTATTTTTTAAATATCTGAGATGGTAAGCCATGATGGCAGCAGTGCAGAGGAGAGCAATTCAATTAAACCAGGAGAGAGGGGGGAGCCTCTGGGTGGTTTATGCCTTCAGAGGGATACAGGGGAGCATGTGTGTGCACGCGTGTGTGCAGATGTGCACGCGCACGTAAACATACTGGAGAGACAGATGTATCCCCCCCTACACAATTTCAAGGGCACATCGGACACTCTTCTCACACATCCTCTGTCTTTTCACGGACAATCTGTCTGTCCTCTGTGTATGACAGTTCATGTCCTTGGAGGTGCCTTGGATACACCTGTGCACCTGTTGTGGAAGAGGCAGAAACACCCTTCTCTTTCCCGGGAAGGTGTGTTCTCAACTGTTCGTGCAATGAGGGCCACATCTTGCTTCCAGGGTGGGCAGTGGACAAGGACTCTCCATGTGGGGGGAGGGGTGCCTGAACCTCCCAGCCCACATTTTATCTACCAGTCACCCCCTCTCTGGGGACATTCACTATTACTGCTGTGCCCCTTTCATTGTCCTGACTCATATCAGGGTATCTGTCCTTATTTTGGCTCCTCAGAATAATGGCTGGGAAAATGGTGTCCCTGCAGTGGACACCCCCATGATTGGCCAGGCAACCTGACACGGGGAGAGGACCCGGAAGGTGGCCTTATGTGAGGGAGCAGAGGATTTTCTTCTGTTTCTATTTCTTTTGCCTGCCCTTGTTGCTTCCTTTTGGGAAAATCCCCTTCCAGAAGACTGTCCATCTGATACCACTGGTTACCAGTGACCAGTCCTGCTCCCTCACAAGTTGAAGTTTAACATTAGAGAAGCAGGCCGAGGCAGGCATAGGAAGCAGGGTTTACTTAAAAAGGGAGTAACATAGACTTCTCTCTGGAGGGAGAAAGGGGCCATGGTTGGTATCCTGGTATCCCAAGAAGTGAGGGGTTTTTGCCCTTTTTTGTATGTCTCAGGCTTCCTTTGTTCTCCTGCTCTCTCCCCCTTATCTCTCTCCTTCCTGCATATGTGAGTAGGCCCAGGAGAGCTCAGGTGGGGTGGCCAAAAGGTGAGAAGCAGGTGAATGGGGGACGGGCCCGATGGAGCAGCCCAGGACCCATTAATTAACTACTTTTATAACTCCAGGGAGGGAGGGACAATTCCTGGGGCAGGTTACCTTAGCAACAGGTTGGAGCAGGGGCAGGTTATCTTGGTAAGGGTGGAGGAAGGGCTCTGAAGGCATTTCAGTCCCTCAGGGGGCAGTCTGCAACTTCCCAGACCCACTCCAATTGGCCTCCTTGATCCAGCCTGACTCGATCTACCTGTCTATACTGACTGCCTGCCTAAATCTGGCTTCACCTCCAGTGGGCCTGCCTGGCCACCTAAATGGGCCCATGAAGGGTCGTCGCCTTGTCTGAAGCTTTGATGAGCCCCTGGGATCCCAGAGGGAAACATGGCCCCTGGAGGGCCGTCTTCCAGAAGGAAGCAAGGAAGGACAGACGGAAAGCTGCAGATGAACTCCTAAGAGGCCCTTCTCCCCTCAATCCTGGGCTCTCCTTCCAAGTCCCGTTCCTGGTATCAGGATGACAGGGGTGTCCACTCGCTTCTGGGTAGACATTTCCCTCAGCAGTCACCCCTAATTTCCTGGAGGGAGGGGGGCCCTTACTGGACACAGCTGCGCCTGCCCAGGATCACCCATGGCTGCCTGGGCCCTGGGCAGACGGGCAGGGGCCTGGCTCCTCTCACTGTTCTCTTCTCTCCTTTCCCCAGGGCTTCTGCTCCTGGCTCTTCAACAGCTTGACCATGAAGTAAGTGCCTAGCTCGGAGCCTGGGACAGCCCTGCCTTGGGGGTGGGAGGGTGGAGATGTGGATTAGCCCCCCTGGCGGGATGCCAGGCCTGAGCTCTGTCCCCCAACCCACCCCAGCTCCTGCCTCCCCAGATCAGGCGGAGGTCACTTTACCTGGTTACAACTGATGAATGGGAATGGACATAGCCCACTATCTATGTCACCTGAGTCCTCAGGAAGGACCTTGTATAAGAGCTGAGCCATGATTCCCATGCATGTAAAATGATTCTATGAACCCCATGCCAGGAGACCCTTTCCACATGCTATTTGCCTGTTTCCTGTGCACGCCATGCATCAATTTTATCAAGAGGAAGCAAACACACTGAGAGAAGGGTGGACAGACTTCCTCCCTCTGTGCCCTCGAGACATCTGCTTTCTTGATTCCCCACACCAGCCGGGCACTTCAGCCGAGCAGTTGCTGACCAGAACTCTATTCCCTTGGTGCCTGTATAAGCATGCACAAGCATACAACCCCCCACCCCAGGCAGGCCGGTGTGCACACAGCCCCACCTGCTTGTGCTCAGAGCCCTGCAGAATCCTGACTCTACGAATATCTCCTCCCATCCGTCCTGCCCAGCCTGTCCTTCAAACCCCTATTCCAGGGTACTTCCTTGCTTGGTGACACCTGCTTTAGGGCACAGCTTTGCTGTTCCTGGCGGCCACAGGCACTGGGGCTTCTCTGCAGAGGCTGGCATGACTCTTCCTTCCTCCCAGCATGGTTAGCCTCTCAGGGTTTGCTGTCACAAGACCCCAGCCCCAGGAGCCACCAGGGCACTTCTGTTTCTTCAGACCTAAAAGGCCCTTGGGGTGCACAGGGAACCCCAACTGGACCTAGGACCCCCAGCCCCACTGCTGGGGACTCCCCCATGGCCTTGGCCTGCAGCGTTCCTTCCTCATCGGTCATAGTCCCAGGGAAGCAAGGCAGCTCCTTTGTGAGCGCGTCAAACACCAGCCTCTCTACTTGTAGCTACCTGTGGGTGAGTAGGGGGAGACTTTAACACTGGCTCCCCTCTCTCTCTCCCTCTCCCTCCCGCCGCCCACTCTCTGGTTTTGCTTGGTTAATTTGTTAACCATGCACAAGCCAAAGTAAGTAAGTTTTCATTAAGAGGAACATGAAAGTCTACCTGCAGTCTTCCCCAGAAGTAACCCCTGTCAACAGTTTCATATTACCTTTTACGTGAATTTACTGTTTTTTTATTTTTAAGATAACTTACAATGTGTATCAGTCCATTTCTAGTTACTCTGATGAAATACTTGAGGCTAGATAATTCGGTAGAGAAAAGAGGTCTATTGTGCTTAATGGTCTGGAGTTCCAGGGCACGGTGCCAGCACCAACTTGGCTTATGGTGAATGTCACCTGCCAAAACAAGATTCCACTGCAAGACAGGAAGCCAGAGAGCAATTCAGGAGTCAGGTTCAGACCCTCTTTCTTTCTCTCTTTCATTTTTAAAATTTTTATTTATTTGTTTAGTGGTGCTGAGCATCCAACTCGGGGCCTCCTGTATGCTAACCACGTGCCCTACCACTGAGCCACACGCCCTGCCCTAAGCTCAGGCTCTTACAACAACTCACTCTTGCAAGAACTAACCTCAGGGCCCCACAGAACTACCTTCTGAAAGCAGGGCCCCCAAAATGACCCAAGGGGACCTCCCATTAGGTCCTGTGTCTTAAAGGTCCCACCACCCATTAATATTGCCACAGCGGAGAACAAGCATGTCACCCAGGACCCCTTGGGGGACAAATCATATCCAAACCATGGCAGTGTGTATGGACATTTGGAGCTCATTTCCCTCGCTCGAGGCCATGTAGGCTGGTTCTAGGTTCCTGAGCTTAGTAAATTTGTGACTGAGAGGTCAGGCTTGATGGCAAAATGCCCAGTCCCTTGCATGGGTCAGAGGGAAGGTCCACCCATGCTGACCACATCCTCTGGTGTGGGAGAAAAGGAACCCCTGGAGGTGGCCTGAGGCTGACTTCCTGGATTTTCCCCACTGCCCACTGACATGTCACAGGGTGAGACAGTGTCCGTGTTGTGGGGAAGCAGGACACAGGCGAAACCTAACAGACACCACGTGGTGGGTGTCTCTGCGACTCTGTGGTGTGCATGAGTGTGGAATGAAAGACTGAGTCACCCAGCTGTTGCCCATCTGCATGTGTGTGTGTACCCGGACCTGCGGGTTAGCGGGGAGGCCAGTGCGTACAGCTGAGCGTGTGCTTCCCCCATTCCCGCCCCACCACGAGCTCCTATCAGAGAGACCCCTCCACAGGGGACACCTCTCTCCTATCGTGGTAGGAAGGGGGAGCATTGCACCTGCATCCCATAGCAAACAGTGTCATAGATGACAGTGAAAGTATTCACTGAGCAGAGGCAGGTCAGCCAGAGTTCCGGGGCACAGAGCCCGTGCAGTCTACCTGGAGAAACAAGGTGAATGAGACTCTTTCCTCATTCATAATGGAGAGGCTATAATTTGCCATGCAAAAGGGGTATTTGGGGGAAAGAGGTTGAAATCTAACTGTGGGGCTCAAAAAGTGAAGTTTTGTGCTGGGTCTTGAAGGATGGGAAGAAGTGAGTAGAGGGCACATCCGAAATAAAGGTGCAGTGTCACACGCCTATAATCCCAGTGGCTCAGAAGGCTGAGGCAGGAGGACTGCAGGTTCAAGGCCAGCCTCAGTAATTTAGCAAGACTATAAGCAACCTAGTGAAATCATGTCTCAAAATAAAAAATAAATAAATAAAAAGGGCTGGGAATGTGATTCAGTGGTTGAGCACACTTGGGTTCAATCCCTGGTACCAAAAAATAAATAAAGGACTCTGTGAGCAAAGGATTGGGGCAGAGATACATAGGGAGTGTCTGGAAATGGTAAATCTTTTGGTGGGATACAGGAAGAGGGCGAGGAGAAGGTCGTACCAGAAGGATCAGCTGGGATTGTGACTGCCATACCAAGAAGCTTGGGCCTTGATCTAGTTGCAGTAGAGACCCAGTTACTGTTTTTGAGCTGGAAATCCAAGATGAGATCTGTAGGGGAGTATATTTAGGGTTTAAAATGCCCAAAGTCAAGGCGAGCAGCTAAGGAGGCTATTCCAGTGGTCCAGGAAGGATGTGATGGTGGCCCCATCACATCCTTCACTGGTGACCAGTGAAACAATGACGGAGAGGACAGGTAGGAGGGAGGTGGTAGGGCTGCAGTCGATTGGTGAGGAAGGGTCGGGGAGAGAAATTGAGGTCTGACTTCCGGGGAGGTCAGTAACATTGTAGGCAAGAGAGGAAACAGTGGCCGGAGCAAGCCCGTGAATGCACCAGCAGGCTTTTGAAAAAGAACGGGGCCAAGGCTCAGAGCCGGGGGTTTGGACTTGGAAGACAGATGTCACAGCCAGGAGCCAATGGGTTACCCAGGAAGGTGAGATCAGCAAAGGCCAAGAGAGAGCCTGATGAGACAGGAGGAGGAAGGGGCGTCCTGCAGCCTGGGATCACTGGAGTCCAGCCAGGACGAGGCTCCAGGGCAGGTGTGGCCAGCAACCTCCAGTGTACAGAGCCTGGGAGGAATGAGACCTGCAGCAAGGACATTGGCCTGGGTGACTGAGTCTCCACTGGGAGGGCACTTTGGGACCTCTCCGAGGGGAAGAGACGGAGAACAAAGCTCACCTTGTTCAAGAGGTGGGTGAGGAGGGAATGGAGGTGTTGAGGGAACTAGAGGGGAGGCCGGGCAGGGCGTGGATGCTTGAGGAGCCGTTTGGCTTATTTTTAGAGGAAGCAGTGTGCCCTTGAGCCTGGTTGTAGGTAAAGGGAAGATGTGTGTGTGTAGGTGTAGAGAGAGTGGGATGGCAAAGGGAAAGAGAAGGGCCATGGAGACAGCAAGTCTCCAGAAAGGAGAGAGAGGAAGAGACGGGAGCAGAGAAGGAGAACTCATGGTGCATGGTAGCAAGGGCAAGTGTCACAGTGGGTGGCACTTTAAAGAATGGGCCCAGTGGCGAGGGCAGGAACTCCTGGCCCTCTGCTGTCCACCTGGAGACTCTCTCAGACCTCCCACTCCTCACAATTTTCTGTGGAAAGACCAAATCCCCGGCCTGCAGCAAGACACCTGCTGTGCCCACCCCCCCTGCGCCCAGCCTTCCCATGGTCCTCAGCCACCCATTCCTGGGGCTTAATCCTCCAGTTTAGCAGAAGGAAGTGTTTTATTTTTATTTTTTTAATATTTATTTTTTTTTTAGTTTTTGGCGGACACAACATCTTTGTTTGTATGTGGTGCTGAGGATCGAACCCGGGCTGCACGCATGCCAGGCGAGCGCGCTACCGCTTGAGCCACATCCCCAGCCCAGAAGGAAGTGTTTTAGCTGCTAAGAATAAATAATTTTTTTTAAATCAGGAGCTCTAAATAATTCCATAAATGGAATGATTGAAGATGTTCTTTTCATCATAATGTTTAAAAATAAATCTGAACTCTGGACTGGATGCTAGACGCTTCGTACAAACCACATGTCTGACAGAGAGGCCAGGGTGGGAGTCCAGGGTGCATGCACCCATGGAGTGGGGGGCCCAGAGGGCGCTGGACACAAACGAGAGCTCTGTAAATGGAGGCCACTGTTGCCATTATGTAAACAGACGGGAAAGGCTTACAATAAAATGTGAAGCTGAAGAGCAGTTCATCAGATGCTCTGACCATAAGCAGTCTGTTTGGGTTGCTAAGGACACAGTACCGCAGACTGAGCAAGTCAGGAAGGAAAGAGATTCACTCTGCCTCCTAGTTCTGGTCCAAGGTCAGAGGACAAGGGACTGCATCTGGTGATGGCCTTCCTGCTGGAAAGAATCCCAAGGCTACACAGGGAGTCACATGGCAGGGAGCAGGTGTGCTCGTGTGTGTCTGCGTGTGTGTGTGTGCGCGCGCACGCGTTGTGGTCTCTTTACTTACAAAGCCACCAGGATCCAACCATGGTTCTCCACCCTGATGGCCTTATTTAATCTTTATCACTTCCACCTTCGAACACCATAGCAGGGTTAAGCTTCATCCTCTTACCACCTCACCACGGGGACGAGTTTGCAAGGGGCCAGACCCTGTTCAAACCATCACAGTCACCAAGGAAAACTAGCACAACAGGAAACCGAAGGAAATTAACCAAAATCCTGAATAGTCACTGTTTTAGGTTTGATGAGATTGTTGGCAAATTATTTTTTTTTACTATTTCCCAAAGTTACGATGAGCATGTGTTGCTTTTATGTTTTTTAACCGAAGCATAACACACACACACAAGCACACACACACAAGCACACACACACAAATGCACAAAAATTAAATATACAGCTCATTATACAGTGCAGTGCCTATGCCACCAGGACCACCCTGATCCAGAATCAGAACACCCAGAAGTCCCCCTCCTGCTCCTTTCCAATCCCCTATCTCCTCCCTCCTCTCTGAGGGTCGCTGGTATTCTGACTTCCAACTGTATAGTTTAGTATTACCCTTTTTTGAACTTAATATATTAAATCATACAGTAGCTGTTGTTTGTAGGTGGTGTCTTTCACTCAGCGTTGTGTCTGTGAGGTTCAGCTACGAGTGATTCATTTTTAACAGTATATAGTATTTCATTGTGTGTGTGTAACAATTCTTGTGTCCATCCACCTCTGATAGACATTTAAGATGTTTCTAGTTGGGGATGTCACAAATGTCACACATCTGTGATATTCTTACACATGTCTTTGGAGCACATGTCATGTGTTTCTGTTGGGTATAAACCTAGGAGTGGAACCGTAGGATCCCAGGTTGTGCGTGTATAGAATTTCCATAGATAAGGCCGACCCCTCTCCTGAGTGGTTGGGCCAGTGCATACGCCGTGCGTGTAGCCAGCTCCCAACACCCCACCCTCTTCCGCGCTTGGCCTTGTCCAGCTTCCTCCCTCTGGCCAGCCTGGGAGTGCGGCGTGTCATCGCGTTGTGGTATTCCATTTTAATTTAAAGAATTAAAACACACAGCTTTTTAGGGCTGGGGCTGTGACTCAGTGGTAGAGCACTTGCCTCCCGTGTGTGAGCAACTGGGTTCGATTCTAAGCACCACATATAAATAAATGAATAAAATAAAAGTCAAGCAACATCTAATAAATCCATAAATAAACAGATTTTTAAACCAGGGTGTATCCCCCTACATCAGTGTCTCTTTGGTGCTTTGTCGGGGCGGCACCAGAGCGAGCACTCACGGTATTTAATAAGTGACGAGGGGATGACGGGCTTGGACTGAGGAGCACTTCAGGGTCTCCAGTGCACATCTGCCACAGGGCCCCTCTCTCTGTAAAACCCAGTGACATGCACTTAGGGACACCAGATGCCTTGAGGAGAAGGTCAGTGTTCCCCCAGGAAAAGAAAAAGGGGGCTGTTGGAAGTGTAGGTGAGGGGCAGAGGCTTGCCTTGTGTGCACAAGGCCCTGGGTGGGACCCTGCGGGAAGGAGGGGTGGGGAGAAGGCAAGGAAAGCAAAAACCTAGGGGGAGTGGGACGGTCATCTTCCTGCGGTGCTCGCCTGAGCTGTGGCTCCTAAGGAACGCCTCCATCTGTGTCTCTTCCAGGAACCAGGATCTGATTAACAAGTGTGGGGACGACGCGCGCATCTACATGATGTTCCAGTACCACCTCATCATCTTCGTGCTCATCCTCTGCCTCCCCTCCTTGGGTGTCATTCTGCCCATCAACTACACTGGCACTGTCCTGGGTAGGCGGGGTTCAGCGGGCCCGGGGCCCTGGGCCACTAGACCCAAGGGGCAGCCTGGCAGGCGGGACTGAGACTGAACCTTGGCGGGTAGACACCTGGATTTTAACCGTCCTCTGGAAGGTGGTTGCTGGGTGACCCTGACAAGCTGTGCTTCTGTGCTCTCCTGTGGAGACAGGAGATGGGTCCTTCTTTGTTTGAGCCAGGACCTGGCATGGAGCACGTGTGGAGGGTCAGCTGAGTCCAGAACCAAGTGTTTACCCGTGATCCCACACACCCCTACGCAGGTGTTCATGGAGGCCCTTTCAGGACATGTGACCACCTCAGAAGTCCCTGTACTCGACCCAACCCTGGGACCTCCCCCCACCCCGCAATCCTGCCCCATGGACACAGCACGGTCACCCCAGCATCTGTCTCAGAGGTTCTCTGCTCACACTCATTGTGATGGCATCAGCCTGTTGGGCTAAATAGCATCCGGAGGGAGGGCTTGGCTTCAAAGCCCTTCAAAATCTTGGCTCCCCCGGATTTGCTCCCCAGAAAATACCTTTGCTCAAGCTAACAATTTATTTAACCTTCTATTTGGCAAATCAGTCTTCCCAGGCCTCCGTTTCCTTGCTGTCTTGGGCATTGGGAGATAATGTCAAGTGCCTAGCACGGTGCCTGATACACAGCAGGGGCTCAGGGGAGAGCAGCAGCAGTTCCCTTAGAACTACAGGACAGACAGAGCTGTAGGGAGGATGAACAACCAGCTAGTGTCTAAGAGCACCAAAAATACCCAGGTGTCAACCACCTGTCCCTGGATGCCTCAGTTTTCTACCTGTTTCTCAGCCAGATGTGGACCTTGGTATGGTGTGGCACATATGAGTGTCCATGACACCAGATCCCACCATGAGCATGAATAACACAACTCCTGTCTTTACAGGTTCTCCAGATTCTAAGAGCTGCTATGTGGGCAATGAGAGTATAATGCAGGATTTTTAGATACATTTTGCAAAACTTGAAGGTGTCTGAAATGACAACCTGATATGTTTAGCCAGAAGGATTTACTTTGTTCAAACGAGGCAGCATCCCATTGTTTGGGGGGCAGTTCTTGTGATTGTTGCCCGGGTTGCTGATCTCATCACTTGCTCGTGGCTGGACAGTTGGTTCCTTTGACAAGCATTTACTTGGTGTCTATTATGTGCCAGTTGTGCCCTTGGGATGCCCCCAAAATATCTGGTCTTGATTTATGCATAAGAGCTTCTATCAGCACTGCCTGGGGGAGGATATTTGTGTTGGAATCTGGGAACAAACCCTGGGGAACCGGTAGGAAGAGGGGGATGTCGGCAGGCATCTCTAGGCCCTGGGCGTTCATCGGGGAACCTTGAATTCTGCACTCTGCCTCCAGCCGCTGAGGAGCTGGGCCGGGGGTCAGCACCTTTCTTCTCTTTCAGACTGGAATAGCCACTTCGCACGGACCACCATTGTCAATGTCTCCACAGAGTAGGTACCTGATCTTCTGGCCTCCCATTCTCCTGGCTGGGCTCTGAGGGGAGGGGAGGGCCAGTGTGTCCGTCCACAAGAGGGGCACCACGGTGCTAGCAAGAGAGGCCTGGTGTCCTTGGAATCCAGGTCCCAAGTGGGACACCAGAAGTCACACTCTCTTGGTGGGCAGGGCTCTGTGCCCCAACATCTCTCTTTGTCATAAGTGGAACTACCAAACTGGCCACTCGTGAGGGCTGGAGAACACAGTCCTGTTCGCTTTAGTATGCCCAGCTCCCAAGAGGCAGAGACCCTCTTGGTCTAAGATGTGGTCTCCCTGATCATTCGGGGTTCAATTCCGCCCTCGTCGGATCGAGTGTCAGTCTCCCCCTCCAGTCCAGGGAGGGACTAAGAGATCACGTGGTGGTTGGCACCTACCTCTGCCACCCGCTGACCCTGGACCTAGGGCTCTGGAGTCTCATGAGAATATGCACCTGCAAAACTCAGGCCCGTTCTGGACCTGGCTCCAAGTAAGCACTTGACAGTGTTAGCCCTTCCTCCAGAGCCAGGCCCCTGGCCACCACTGCCACCCCCTTTAGGGTGTCTGAGAGTGGGGACTCCAAGAAGTTGGTCTGGAGGATCTGAGGACATAGTGGTGGCTGGAGGGGGTCTGAGAACACTTGTCAGAAGGGCTAGAGTGGCCGGGGGGCCAGGGTGGGAGGAGGTGGGCGGAAGCTGCTTAGCAGCCAGTGTGAGCAGTTTCAGTGGCTCATCAAACAGGTGGGCGGTGCAGGGCAGGAGGGGCAAGCGGGGCGGGGAGCAGGCCCGGTGGGGATCTGGGACACTGTGGTAGTGGGTTGGGGGACCCGGGGGGGGGTCTGGGGACTCTATGGTGGTGGTCTGGGGGAGTGTGTCTGGAGATACTGTGGTGGGGGTTATCTGGGGACTTTATTGGGGAGTCTGGGGACAGTGTGGTGGTGAGGTCTGGGGACACTGTAGGGGTATCTGGAGATACTTTGGGGGGTCTGGGGATACTGTGTGGAGGGGTGAGGGGACACTGGGAGTGTCCAGGGAGACCGTGGTAGTCTGGGGACACTGGGGCTCTGGGGAGACCGTGGTGGTCTGGGGACACTGGGGCTCTGGGGAGACCTTGGTGGTCTGGGGACACTGGGGCTCTGGGGAGCCCATGGTGGTCTGAGGGCCCATGGTGGTTTGGGGACATTGGGAATGTCTGGGGAGACCATGGTGGTCTGGGGAGCCCGTGGTGGCCTGGGGACACAGGGCTGGGGCCATGGCCAGCTCTCACGGCCTTCTCCCTGCGCAGGAGCAGGCTCCTGTGGCTGCACAGCCTCTTCGCCTTCGTCTACTTTCTCACCAACTTCCTCTTCATGGCTCACCATTGCTTGGGCTTTGTGCCCAGGAAGAACCAACAGGTGAGCAGGTGAAGAGCCCCTCCCCACTGGCCCTTCCAGGCCGGCCTCAGAGAAGGCCCAGCTTGGCGCACCCCAGGGGACTGACCTCCTGAGCAGGCGCACACCGCTCCTCACAGCCGGGTGGCCGGGGGCCTGCTCCCCGCCCCGCTCGCCCCTCCTGCCCGGCCCGGCCCACCTGTTTGCTGAGCCACTGAAACTGCTCACACTGGCTGCTAAGCAGCTTCCGCCCAGCTCCTCCCACCCTGGCCCCTCGGCCACTCTAGCCCTTCTCCAAGGCCCCTGGACCCCGCATCCACAAACCAAAGAGTAACAAACACTGGGATGCACAGGAGCCTCCATCCTAAGTGGTCAGGGTCCCCTGCTGCCCACTCCAGCTGTGCCCAGGACTTTCCTTCCCCTCTCTGAGGTCACAGACCCCTGTGCATCCACACTGTCTCGGTTTGGCACCCCCTACCTCCCAAGCGGACCCTGAGACCATGACTTGAGTGACATTCATATATCTGGGGGGTGATCTCCGGAAAGGCCAGTAGGGGAGCGAGGACCAGAGAGAAGGTGGCCAACAGAAGGGAGGGTGGGGAGCAATTTAGCAGTGGGCAGCTGCAGCGAAACCCTCTGGAGAACTCCACGAGCTGCTATAGGGCACGTGGCCTAGAATTTTCCCAGCCTGGAAGTGAGCAGTTTGGAGTGTCCCCCCGGCTGCCACCTCACGACTCCCTGTCCACTGTTCGAGGGCTGCATTTGGGGACTTGAACTCTTCACTTCTTGACCTGTGCATGCTCCCAGGGCTAGGAGAGAGTGCTCAGGAGGACACACAGTGGCCATGGGTGGGCAGCAGCTCTGCCACCTGCCTGGACCTACATCTGCCTCCAGAGAGGGGCCTTCAGGTTGCCCATGCTCTGTGGGAAGGGAAACCAGAGGATGAATATCTTGATTCCACCTTCAGGTTTTCAAGGGTTCAGGGGAGTGTGATCCACTCCACCAACGCTGTCCCCGCTACAGGACTGATTCATTTGAACTCAGTCCAGAGTGCAAACGCACGCGCCCTGAAAACTTACCCCAAGTGTTTCCGCCTGCCAGGCAGGGAGGCTTGGCCAACCTTGACCAAGGTCAAGGACTCAGCTACTTCAGCTTTTCTTACTATCACCAGATGCTTCTGCCAAGACCCCCATCTCTCAGTCTACCAGACTGCCATCTTGAAGGTGATGGTCAAGGACGATACTTCCCACCCACAGAATGAAATAAGAACTCCAGGCAGGGGGCCTCCCCAGTCTCCTTCCAGAGTCTTGCTGTGTTCGTTTTTTGTTACTGTTCACCTGAGATAATCAACTTAAAAAGAAGAAAGGTTTATGTAGCTCACAGTTTTAGAAGTTCCAGTCCATGGTCAGTAGGTCCCGTGGCTTGGGGCTTGGGTCCAGGCAGCATATCGTGGTGGGAACATGTAGCAGAAAAGGCTGTTCACCGTGTGATAGCTGGGAAGCAAAAAGAAGAAGAGCCCAGAGTCCCAGTGTCACCTCCTGTGACTAAGACTTCCCACTTATCCCCATTTCTTAAAGGTTTCCACTGGCTCCCAATAGCACCAAGCCTTTAGCACATGCAGGACATTCCATATCCAAGCTATAGCACCTGCCCTTGTCCCAGCTCCCCTGTCCCTTCTAATTTTAGGGGGTTCCATGGTGATGTGAGACTTTCTGCTGGAATTGGGGAGGGGGTTTGCAGGGAGATCTGGATTCACTGTGGAGCTGCCTATGCTCTGACCCTCCCCCGGGCCCTGTCTGCAGGTTTCTCCCTTTCCCTCCCTCCAATCAGCCGTCTGTGGCAGGGGCCCAACAGCTGTGGCCCAGAGAATGAGAGAGGCACAGTTTGCTGACCTCGGGGCTGTGGGCTCAGCTGGCACACCAAGGCAAAGAAACTGGCACTTGCTTACTTAGCGAGGAGGTCCTTGGCATCAGGCCGCCTGGTGTGAGCAGAAGGCCTGCTCCCCGGGACTCTGGGCCACCCAGAAACCAGACTTCTGGAGTTCCTGTGCAAGCTGAGACTTCTCTGTCCATTTGCCCTCCCACCTAGGTCACAAGGACACTGATGATCACCTATGTGCCCACGGACATCCAAGACCCAGAGATGGTTAGCAAGCATTTCCAGTAAGTGGGGTGCATTGCCTCCACCCGTATCCCTACCTGGGTCCTCCTGTGGGTCTGAGTTAGTTAGCTGGTGGCCTTCCCTGGCCTCGGCTCAGAATTGACTTTCCAGAATAGAGAGGAGTCCCAGGGCTGGATCCGGGTTTCAGAAGCCAGGGACTTCCTGCATGGCTGGGTAGGAAGTAGGAGGTTTTTTATTTTGTTTTGTTTTGTTTTGGGGGGTCTACCAGGGTTTGAACTCAGAGGCACACAACTACCCATCCACATCCCCAGCCCTATTTTGTATTTTATTTAGAGACAGGATCTCACTGAGTTGCTTAGAGCCTCACTTTTTATTTTTAAATGTCTTCTTCGTAATCTTATTTATTTATTTTTATGTGCTGCTGAGGATCAAACCCAGTGCCTCGCGCATGTGAGGCTAGCACTCCACCGCTGAGCCACAACCCCAGCCCCAGTGCCTCACTTTTTGCTGAGGCTGGCTTTGAACTTGCCATCCTCCTGCCTCAGTTCCAAGCCTCTGGAATTACAGGCATGCACCCGCGCACCTAGTTAGAGATGTTAATTTTCCTTTTTCTTATGGCTCCAGCTACTGAGTCCAAGGAGACCCTGCACCATAGGTGCCCAGGACTCAGTATCTTGAGACCTCTTTGGTGACTTCAAGTTCCTGTCCCCAGATACCCTGCCCTCTGAGTCCTCTGAGTCCACTATCTTTCATGAGCAGCTCTTTCCTGGTCCTCAGTGGTTGAGGCTCTGCCCTGAGCCACATTCTGGGCCATGTAGGAAGGATGGGGTAATCCTCCGATTACCAGAATTCAAACCCCAAAAGTAGTTTGGCCTTAGAAGCGAGAATGGATTCTCCCACCAGAAAAGGTGGGCATGCCGGGCAGCTGGGCCGTGCAGCCTGTGGGCGGCCATGCTGGGCAGGGTGAGGGCAGCACCTCCTAGCCCCCCCAGCTGGCTCAGCATCTGTGTGTGTGTCTGCAGTGAGGCCTATCCAGGCTGCGTGGTGACCAGGGTCCACTTCTGCTATGACGTCAGGACGCTGATCGACTTGGATGATCAGAGGTGAGGCTGCAGCAGCTCCTGTCAGAACCTGGGCTGGGGTGCGGAGGAGGACCGGCCTCCACTGACCGGAAGCTCTTGCCCCGTTGCCCACCTCTGACAGGCGCCATGCCATGCGGGGCCGGCTCTACTACACGGCCAAGGCCAAGAAGACTGGTGGCAAGATCATGATCAGGATCCATCCCTGCTCCCGCCTGTGCTTCTGCAGGTGCTGCACCTGCTTCAAGGAGGTAACCAGCAGGGGGGTCGGATGGCAGGGAGGGGCCAGGGCCTGGGGCTCCAGGCTGTCCCTTGCTCATACCCTTGGGCCCCCAGGCCCTGTTGGGGTCTGCCCCAGTGTTCTGGTGCTCACTGGAGGAGCTTGCTCTTGTCTCCCTTCTGCTGCTGGACACAGGGTCCAGCAAGAACACCGAAGGCTTCCAAAGAGATAGGGGAGACACCTGTCCCTGCTTTGTCCCCCAATCACGGGTTTTGACACTTGGACTCCTGCTTCAGGGCAGAACTGGACCCCCACCCAGACCAGAAAGACTCCCCCTCCCCTGACAAAGCTGCACGTTGTCCTGTCTCTGTGCTCCAGCCAAGTCTGAAGCACCCCTCTGCCCCCCGCTGCACCCCACTGTCCCCGGGCCTAAGGCGGGGAATGCAAGGCAGAGCCAGCCCCTGGTGTTCTAGAGGTGACTGGGAACCCCGCCCCTGGGTGCCTTCCTGGGATTCTGGCCCCCGGCTCTGAGGGCTGCCTCTCGCCCCAGGTAGATGCAGAGCAGTATTACAGTGAGCTGGAGGAGCAGCTGACGGACGAGTTCAACGCCGAGCTCAACCGCGTCCGGCTGAAGCGTCTTGACTTGATCTTCGTCACCTTCCAGGACTCCAGGATGGCAAAGAAGTAAGTGCCACATGGTAGCCTCAGCCCCAGCCCAGCCCTGAGGTGAGCGTCTCCCGAGAGAGCCCCCCAGCTCCCACATTTTGACCTGACTGCCCTGCTCCTCACAGGGGCCACGATCTTGATTTCCAGAGCTTGGCTCTTCCCATGTCCCCCAGCTCCCAGGGCTCTGTAGGGGTGCCTAGGCACTGGGCTCCTTACTCCACGTGTCCTCATTTCAGTACAGAGGTGGTCACCATAGCCTTTGCCTCTTCTGGGTCTTGCCGAGAATGACAGCCATTTTACCCTCATTGTAAACACATCACCCTCTCCCTCACCACTACGTGTTGGGAGAGATAAGTCTGCCTTGCCCTTTCTCCTCTCTGCCATAGGCATCCTGGTATTCATAGCCCTATAGCCACCCCCATAGCCACCCCGCTCTTCTGTCCTAGCCTCTGGCAGTCCCACCTCATTAAGAAGTGAACTAAGTTCATTCTGGAATGTTCCAGAAGGATCCTCAGGATTAGGCTAACTAGAAGGGAAGTCCAGAATCAGTCTCTGAAGGATTTGGGGGGCCCTGCTCTTCTGGTGGGAGCCTGATAATAATGTAAGGCACTTCATCCTCACCCACCCTGGCCCTACAAAAGAATAATGGACCATCTTAGATTTTAGTTACAAATAATGGCACACAATTTTACAAATTGCTTACACTCTGAAACTTCTTGTCTGATTTTGTTATTGCTATCTGCCCTGTCCACCTCCCAGATGGTTGACAAGGATCATATACATTCATTCATACATACATACATACATAAAGTCTATTCAAGGTGTGTGTTATATAAATCAATATATCTCTTATAATGAAGTGCCTTACATTATAAGATAATCCTGTTCATTTCCTGAGACATTGCCACTTGATAGAGAGGATCCAAGGCTTCGTGACAATAGAATTTGAGTTAGAAGGTCAAAGATGAGGCTTAGTGCCAGTACCTGCCCCCTTTTGGGATATATCTTGAGGCACCTCACTTTAGGAAGCTGTGCGATTGAGATTCCATTAATCACCAAAGATCACCAAAGAGCACTGTGCCAGGCACACAGGAAGAATTCAATAATCAGGAGTTATTGTCATTAATATAAGGCTCAAACTAATAGCCTCCTATCAACCTCAAAGCAAGACCAGTCCTCTGTGTTGCTGAGGGGAAGGCAGGAGCTGAGGACTGTGTCCCTCCCTCCCTCTCCTGAACAGTCTAGGCCCCCTCAGATGCCCCTACCCTCGGATACTGGGCCTTAGAAACTATCCTAGGAGACATATCCAAGGCTTTGAGATCCCCCAGGAAGTGGAGTGCCCACCTGTGGGACTGCCACAGTGACCCCGGGACTCTGGTCTGTGGCCTTCCTAAGCTCAACCTCCCATCCCCAGACCTCGGTCTCCTCCTCTTCTCCCATCTCTGCAGCGTCCTGGAAGATTACAAGTACATCTGTTGTGGTGTGTACCCCCAGCAGTCCTCAGTGACCACCACCGTCAAATCCTACAGCTGGAGGGTCATTCATGCCCCACACCCCAAAGACATTATTTGGTAAGCCTCCGCTGACCCTCCCCTCTCCTCTGAGCTCCCCTGAGACTGCAGACGACAACCGGAGAGAGCCTTCTCTCCCCACCTTATGGCCCAGCAGACTCTCCCCGAGGAACAGCCCAGCACTGTCCAAATACAGTCCCTGCCAAGCTGGGCCGGGTACTTCCTGAGCACCACGAGCCTCTGCCCACCCAGCACCTTGGGGAAATTGTTTTTTCCTGCAGAAAGAACTCAAGTATATTTTTTGCACACATGAAATATGTCCTAAGCCTTTATAAGTGGTGTGACTCAGGGGAAGGCTGAGGGGCCCGTGGCACACAGGTGTGTGCCCAGGAGGTTGAATTAGACCAGGGCAGCCCAGGTCCAGAGCTGGCATGCTGGAAAGAGCTCGGGAGCTCTCTCCAAGGGCTCGGACCAGGGTCCTAAGCGACTTCCCTGCTCCATCCCTCCCTAGGAAACACCTGTCCATCCGCCACTTCAATTGGTGGGCCCGCTTCATCGCAATCAACACCTTCCTCTTCTTCCTCTTCTTCTTCCTCACCACGCCTGCCATCATCATCAACACCATCGACATGTACAACGTCACCCGCCCCATCGAGAAGCTGCAGGTGCCTCCTCTGCTCAGGCCAGGCCTGGGGGCCCCAGGGAGATCCAGGAAGAACTCAGGCGAGGATAGGATGGTGGGCCCACTGGGACAGGGCCACAGAGCCCACATACGGCCAGCATGGTGGAGGGGGTAGAGTTTCCGGTGTTCTAAAGGAGATGAATGTGGGTCATTGCTCATCTTAGAGTTAGAGGCTGGAGAGGAAATGGAGAGTGGAGGAGCCACAGGCAGTTCCCTGGGGTGAGTATAGGGGGACAGATGGTCCCACCAGTGTGGGCTTGGAGGGCCCCATTACAGGAGGTCACTGTAGGCCATGGAGTGTTCAGAAGGCATGACAGGTGTGAAGAGCTGTCTTCTCTCTAGGTTTTCTAGCCTGAAAGTTCCCGATAGGTTTGAAGGTGAGAAAGAGTAAGAGAGTCCCCACACAGCCCTTGGAGACAAGGGAGACCTTCAGACCTGTCTCCAACTCCCTCACTTCCAGATACCTTCCCTCCAGGCTGGGAGTCCAGTAGGAGGCCTCTTTGAAGTTAGAGGATGCCTCCAACTGGGAGGGCAGATCCTAAGTTCTTAGCACTGGCCTGATGCCAAGTCCTATGGCCGCCATGCTGTTTTAATGAACTGGAAGTCTGGTCCTTCCATGTTATCCCCTCCATGTTCCCAGCAAAACACACACACATACACCACATACACACACGCAAACAAACATACACACACATACACAAACACACACACAGTCAAGCCACACCACTTCTTTTGCTTACTTTGTCAACTCCACAGCAGGCCTCAGCCCTCACACACGCTGGGTTCCCTCTGCTCTCCTTGGGGACGCCCCATCCCACTCTCCCTGCATTCTCGGGCTACTCAAGCACATCACAGGAAGGCAGCGTTGTCTCTCTGAGCTGTGAGACGTGAGTGAGAGCTTGGTGAATCGCTAGGGGAAGCTCAGGCTGCCTCTCCAGTGATCTCAGCACAGAAGGCCATGCCCACTGGGAACTCCACTTGACCTTGGGATGTCAGCCTCTGCCTCCCCCAGCCAAGAGAACTCCTGGCCAGGAAGGCACTTGACAAAACTGGGCCGCTGCACAGCCTCCGGGACAGCAGCCTGCTCTTGGATTGAGCAGGAGGTGGAGAGCAGGGGTTAGGGGGAGGCTGGGGGCTGTTAGGGAAGGGGCTTGGTGCACTGATGTCTCTGCTGCCCTCCTCCCGTCTGCCCCTACAGAGCCCAATTGTGACCCAGTTCTTCCCCTCCGTGCTGCTCTGGGCTTTCACAGTGATAATGCCCCTGATGGTCTACTTCTCTGCCTTCCTTGAGGCCCACTGGACCAGGTGAGCGCAGAGCCTCCTCTCCTAGCCCAGCTCTTGACTCCAGCCTCTTCCCCTTCCTGATTCCCCACTGGCCTGGTACTCATTCCTCCATGGATTCAAAGAATGATAATCGATATGGGATGGTTTGGATACTGGAAACCATCCCAAAGACCAACAGGTGTTTTCTTTATGAAAAGGTGTGCTGGGTTGTGTCTGGGGCTCTGACCTTGAGGATGCTGAGAGAGAGTCACCATCTAAGGGATATGAGGCCCAAACAAAGTTCCTCCTTGGGCTGCTCCCTCAGCCCCCAGCCATGTACTGAGGGGATGAAGCTGTAGACACGAGCTAAACAGTGTCAGGAAGTTTAGACAGAAAGCACAGGATGAAAAGCCTTGCTTGCCAAACACCAGGGAAGCAGTTGCGGATGTAGCCGAGGGGCCCAGGGATGCAATCAGACTGTGGATACCTTTGGCCCAATGCTTCGAACATTGGAGATTTTCCATTTGTTCTTCTGCTTCCATGGTAGTATCTAGTTGGGTACAAGTATTTGCCATATCCCAAGTAAGTGGCACTGCTTTGGCTTGAAAGCTATATAGGTCTCAAAAGTTATTCCCACCAAATATGGTGGTGCACGCCTGTAATCCCAGCAGCTTGGGGGCTGAGGCAGGAGGATCCTAAGTTCCAAGCCAGCCTTAGCAATTTAGTGAGGCCCTAAGCAGCTCAGTGAGACCCTGTCTCTAAATAAAATGTTTAAAAAGGCTTGGGATGTAGCTCAGTGGTTAAGCACCCTTGGTGGGGTTCAACGATCCCTGGTACCAAAAAAAAAAAAAAAATTACTCCCTGCACCAAAAGTTCCTGACATTTACCAGACATAAGCCAGAGGTTTGCCCTAACAGAAATTTTTATAGGCCTTTCCTCTGCCAAGAACAAGGTTTATATTGATTAATAAAATCCTCAGGGACTCTGAGGATCATCAGAAATGTCTCTTTGATACAGAGATGTCAAATGTATGGCACATACGGCTTTCCTCCCCTTCTTCTTCCTGTGCCTGGGGCAGACATCACTGGGGCCCTCCTCTGTAATTAGATCTTTGGTTCTTATTATGTCTCACACACTGATGGACATCTCTCTTGGTTCTCTTCTAGATCAAGTCAGAATCTGATCATAGTGCACAAGTGCTATGTCTTTCTGGTGTTCATGGTGGTCATCCTACCCTCTATGGGACTGACCAGGTACCTCACTCCCAATGACCCCTCCTCTCCCAGAAGTAGCCCAGGGTCAAGAAGGAAGAGGGCCAGGTGACCGGCCAGCTAGAATCAAGCTAAGAGTCTTTGGGGATTGGCAGAGGGAAGCCAGATAGAGGAGTTGAACCCTGGGCTTTAGCTCACAGACTTGCTAACTAAAGGGCTGGCCTTCTTCATGCTTCTAGTTTGGATGTCTTCTTCCGTTGGCTCTTCGACATCTACTATTTAGAGCACGCCACCATCAGGTTCCAGTGAGTACTCCCACACACTTCCCGGGGCTTCTTGTGTCCACACTGGGGTGGGGTTGTGTATCCGTCTCTGAATCCAGCACCTGCATCGCTCACAGGGCTGTTCAGGGATGTGAACAGCACGTGAACTCTCACTAGGCAGCCTTGGAACTTTCCTGGGCTGTGACCTCTTTGGCAATCTGGTGACATCCGGGGATCCCTTCTTGGAATGATGTTTTTGAAATCACTATAGATTTATAGGGTGTTGCCCCCTCCCAAAATGTACAGGGTGGGGTCCCATGTGCCCTTCACCCACTTTTCTCTAATGGTAGCATTTTGCATGATGATAGTGCAATATAAAAACAGGAGAGTGACATTGGTACAATCCACAGAGCCTATTCAGACCTGTCCAGTTTACTCTGAATGATATCTCCAAGTGTGCCAAGTACAGAGATTGCAAAGAAAACCAATTATACTGAAATACGAATATCAGGCCAAGCACAGTGGCACACACCTGTAATCCCAGGAACTCAGGAGGTTGAGGCAAAAAGATCGTAAGTTCAAAGCCAGCCTCAGCAACTTAGTGAGGCCCTAAGCAACTTAGAGAGACCCTGGGGCAAAATAAAAAAAATTAAAAGGGCTGGGGATGTGGCTCAGTAGTTAAGTGCCCCTGGGTTCAAGCCCTGATACAAGAAAAATGAAAAGAGAAAGAAAGGAAGGAAGGGAAGGAGGGAGGGAGGGATTCTGAAGGAGTTCTGAAATGAGTCTGGGGACTCACAATTCTCTCTTTTCAAGGAAGTTGACATAAATGTGCCGACAGGGACCCTGGGAAGTCACAGAGATGCTTGGATCTCCACATTTTAAAATATCCTGATGACTGTATTTCAGTATGATGGTTTTCTTTGCAATGCATGTGTTTTGCACATTGAAGTCACCCATTCAGAGAATCTGGGTGGCTCCCAGGTAAAGTTGGACAGTTCCCTCAAGGACATCTCTGCAGCCAGGAGACTTTTAACCATGTGTCATTTAACAATGTGTCTAAATCATCATTTTGAAATGGCGATGAGCACAAATGGTATTGTATGATGTCAGCCGTGACTGCGATGCAATTTCAGTTGGAGACAAAGTCACACGGTGGCTGACAGTCCTGCGATATGTGGCCCACAACCTTAATTGAAGGAAATACACTGTATTTCAGTTACAGATTAATGAAAATAAAGATGTCATTTTCCCCCACCCATAGTCCCCCAGAATTCAGAATCTGTGAGCCCAGCTCACATTCCAGCTTTGGAGCAGGCTAGGGCATTCCATGTCCTTGCACACTCAAATGCAACTCTGAAGGCCACAGCCCCACCAGAGGACATGACCTGTGGGACCTCCGTTGTATACACAATTCGGAGTTGGTCCACATGTCGTGTGGCCACACCTGACAGGAAACTTGTCACCCCTGCCACCCACTCTCCATTGTTTCTCTCTCCTCCTCCCTCTCAACTCCTGCCGTCCCCTGGCTCCTCACTGTCTTCCGCTCTCCCCACTGCCCAGGTGTGTGTTCCTGCCAGACAATGGCGCCTTCTTCGTCAACTACGTGATCACGGCGGCCTTGCTCGGCACAGGCATGGAGCTGCTGCGCCTGGGGTCCCTCTTCATGTACAGCACTCGCCTCTTCTTTTCCAGATCGGAGCCCGAGAGAGCCCACATCAGGAAGGTGAGGCCCAGCCCTTCCCTGAGCGCAGCCCTTCGTTTCTCTTGGGAGGGGACCAGGATGGGGCCCCTGCTGGGAGCACCCAAGGACAGGTGGCTGCTTCTTGGCCCCCAGGGCTGGCAGGGAGTGCTGCCTCGGCCTGAGCTGCCTGCCGGCTCCCAGGAGGAGCCAGAGATGCAGTCAAGCCAAGGGGGCCAGGAGAACTCAAGGTGATCCCTGCCTTCTGCCCTAGAACCAAGCCATGGACTTCCAGTTTGGGCGGGAGTACGCGTGGATGCTGAACGTCTTCAGCGTGGTGATGGCGTATAGCATCACTTGCCCGATCATCGTCCCTTTTGGTGAGTTGTCTCTGCAGCACACCCGGGGCTGCTCACTCTCAGACTGGAGGAGGAATGGAGCCCCACATCAGGCCACCTCCTGGAGCATGAGGGGACCTGGGACAGCCCGTGGTGGGGAAGCACCGGGGCCAGGGCCGGGGCCAGGGCCGGGCCGGGGCCAGGACAGGGCTGAGGTCAGCTGTCTGCTTTGCTGGCAGAGCATTTGTTGAATGAGTGCTTGAGTGGTTGGCTGGGTGAAACTGGCGGGATGGGTTCTGGGGCTCAGGGGCAGCTGCTAGCTCTGGAGGTCGGTCTCCCAGGGCCTGCCTTTGCTCTTGCTGCTCTGACAGCTCGGAATTGGGCCTCTCAGACCTGTGGAGACCTCAAGGGAGCACAGGTCTTGACAGTGAAATAGCCACTGACTGGTCTCCATCTTCCCCCCCCCACCCCAGGGCTTCTCTACCTGTGCATGAAACACCTGACGGACCGTTACAACATGTACTACTCCTTCGCACCCACCAAACTCAACGAGCAGATCCACATGGCCGCCGTCTACCAGGCCATCTTTGCTCCGCTCCTGGGTCTATTCTGGATGCTCTTCTTCTCCATCCTGCGAGTAGGTGGGTGCCGAGCCTGCACGGCGATCCCACCTCGGCCTGCCCCACTCCTCTGTGGGTCCCTCGTCATCAACTCTGTTAGAGGACGAAAGCTCAGGGAGAGCAAGGCGTGGCCAAGTCCAGTGCCCCCTCTGGGCCTGCAGGGTCTCGGCAGAGCCTTGAGGATCGGTATGGATTTGGGTTTAGGCAAGAAACATCCTTCGTTCTAAATCCAAGCTGACAGGAAAATGGGATAGTAGCTGTTGCGGGCTCAATTCTCGTGACATTTCTTCTGGGATCCTATAAGGTGGCAGGGTTATGGGTTTGCCAGAACCCTGGACGAGTAGTCAGATCTGCGATGGCGGCCAGCTTGTCCCCGACTCCACTGTTACACAGGGCAGCCCGGAGACACCTTCATGGAAGTCCCCACAAACCACAGACTAGGCCTCCCTCGGCTTTCTCCCCTTTGACTCACCAGGCCACTGCCCGCCTTCAGGTCACTTGACCTTAACCTTTCCATGGGGTGAAGAGGGAGAGGCAGTGTTCCCTTTGCTCTCTGTCACAGTGGCATCTGAGAGCCACCTACTCTGTCATTAGTGTGGCTTAGCCTTTTGTCATTACCCCCCACCTCTGACCCCTGCCCGTTTCTTGTCCTGCTTCCTTTTTCTGACTATCTAGAACTATTTCTAAGGGCAAAAAGATACAAGCTTATTATAATATATATATATATATAAAGGCCCAAACCTAAATCCCCCATCTTCTCATCCCAAGCCCCGAGTCTCCTGCAACCAGGCCTCCTCCTGGGCTCGCTCTTGGGGATCAGAACGAAATGAGAGGGAGGGAGTGTATTGGTCGACTGTCCATTTACAAAATCGTGACCGCCCTGTTACAGCCTTCCGTCCTGAATCCTGAGTTTTCCCCTGAACGTTTCGTTCTGAGCCTTTTCCTGTGTTATTAAGAGACGGCGTGTACACCTGCCTTTCGACGGCTGCCTCGGGGCTGCTGGTTGTCAGCTCTCCATTGGGGGATGGGGAGGGGTTTTGTCATTTTGTATTCTTGCACAACCACTGGGGTCAGCAACATGAACAGTCACCTTTGACTGTGAAGGGCCGCTTTCCATATTTACCTAGTTAGAAAAGAAAAGGAACCCATTCAAAAGGAACTAGATACTCCCATGTGGAATACAAATGACTTTTGATTTCTGGATCGCTGTTCAATGCCATTACACAGGTAATAAGCATGCTCAATCTGGGCTCGCATGGAGACGTGGAGTCACGGGTAGTGGCAGAAATTATAACTCCCAGGTACTTCCCAGGGACCATGGAGAAGGGAGTGTGACTGGTCAAGTGGAGAGGTAGCTGACTGGTCAAGAAGAACTCAGGAAGGACATGCTTAATGAGCTGATATGGATACTTAGTCAATCAAAACCTTTTTTTTTTTTTTGGTATTGGGGACTGAACCCAGGGGTGTTTTACCTCTAAGCCACATCCCCAGCCCCTTTTTGTATTTCATTTACAGATAGGGTCTCGCTATGTTGCTTAGTGCCTCGCTAAGCTGCAGAGGCTGGCTTTGAACTTGCAATCTTCCTGCCTCAGCCTCCCAAGCCGCTGGGATTATAGAATCAAAACATTTTTTTTTTCATGGAATCCACAAGATACCAAATTCTGAACTGGCCAAAGAGAACAGAGGGATGGTGTCATCAAAACTCATTGATTCTCAGAGAATTGGGCAGGGTCTCTGCCCCTAGCTCAGAGCCCCTCAGGAGGTACTGGGATGGTTCCCAGCTATGTGCCAACCATCTCGGCCTAGGCGTCCACCCAGCGCTCCACTGCGCTACGCTCACCCCCTTATCTTCTTTCCAGCAGGTTCCCTCCACAACATCACCTTCTTTTCCCTGACCACCCTTATCATTTCCATGCTAATTGCCTTTTTTGGCATTTTTCTGGGGAAGCTCCGGACAGTCCATGACTATGAGGTGAGTTCCTGCCTGCCCTTCCTCCTGGGTTCTCCCAGTCCCCGCGGACAGGGCTCTGAGACACCTTCCTGGCCCAGTCACAAGGGCACCACATGGCAGGAGGGTCGAGCCTCTCTCTGGGACTGGGGTGTGTGTGCACACGCTCGCCTTGCGCTACTCGCTCAGGCTGGGCCCCCTCCAGAAGACACTGCCCTCTCTTTTGCCACCTGTGGGCACCTCCTCCAACCGCAGACAGCCGCTGGCCTGCCCCTCCTACCACGTGAGTCCACTGTAACCTCTGGGCCATCAGCACCATCCCAAGAGTTGAGAGAGAGGGCAGAACAAAGGCAGGTGAGGGTGGGGGCGGTGGATGGGACGATGACCTGGGGCAGGACGGAGAGTCATCCCACCTTTAAGAATCCCAGGCTAGGAGCTGGAGGCTCTCTGTTCGGAGATGGCGGCCATGATTCCTCTGGCTCTGTGGTAGGGCAGCCCAATCTAGGCCACATAGGAAAAGGGAGCCAGCCCATGTCCTCTCAGAGCCCTGCCAGCCACTCTGTCTATATCAGCATTTCCCAAAGTGACTGTCTGCCCAGGGAATTGGAATAATGATAATTCACAGATACTTCCCAGGGACCATGGTAAGAGAGGTGGCCCACGGTCAAGAATGACCCATTTAACGGGCTGATGTGGATACTTAGTCAATGTTACGTATGTTTTGTTACATATTTATTTTTCCAGTTAACTTTCTGCTTATGGCTACTGGAGCAGAGTTTGTTTATAACAGCAAACTGTTTCCTTTTCAAATGAATGTAACGAAAAGAAAGTCGGGTTCTAATGGCTGACGCCCTGCTGAGTTGACAGAGGGAGTTCTGTGAGGCATTTCCCTTGGTTTCTGGTGTCTGTGTCCGAGGCTCTGGACACAGGCACCTCCTATCCTCTTGCCTGGTCCCCCTGCCCCATTGCTGGCCAGAGTGTCATGCTAGGGAAGGGCCAGAGTGAAGGACAACGCCCCCTCCCATCTTTCTATTACAACAGTGTCACAGGATCTGGTTGCCCATGTCACTCTACAGAGGGCAGGTGGCAGAGAACCTGGACTGGATGAGCTTAGGACTCCTTCCAAACCCAATAGAGGGGCATCCTAACCCCTAACTGTGGTCCCGTCTTTGAACCTCAATTTCAATTCTGCTTACTTCCCCTTTTATGATCCTTGGGAAGAAAACATTCCAGAAGGGACTCCTGGCATCCTAATCCTCTCCCTGTCCCCTTGGGCTTCCATCCTTCTCTCTGGACTAAAGTTCTGGAAAGAAGAGTGTGGCAAGAGGCCCAGGCCCAGGCTTCTCGGATGTGGGGATAAGGCAGCAAAGAGCAGCCCCCACTGACCCTCTGTCTCTCTCCCTGTGGCAGTCCGAGGAGGAGATCGAGACAGTGTTTGACATGGAGCCAAGCAGCACGTCCTCCACGCCCACGTCCCTTGTGAGTCACCCCTTTCACCCTGGGGCCAGGCAAGGAGGGTGGTACCTGCAGGGGTGGCCTACTCCAGTGATGTTGGGGGGCACCAGCTTAGTGCCCATCCTGGGTATTGGGGAGGAGGAGCTGGGGCCTCTGGGTTCCCTCCTCTGACGCAGCAGGACTCGGCCCAGGTCCAAATGCTGCCGTGGCCCTGGCTGAAGAGCCGGGATATGAGAAGATCCAGCAATTACTCGACATTCCCTAGAAGGCACCCAGAGAGGAGGCAGCCAGAGAGGATGTACTCGGTCAGGGGGACCCCGATCTCAGAGACCTCATTCGTGTAGACCCAGGGGCATGCTGGGGCTCGGCCTCAGGACCCAAGGCTGCCTCCAGGGCACAGGTGCCAGGCAGAGCGGCGCAGACAGAGCTGCAGGGAGCTATTGGAGGATGCACCAAATGGTAAGGCAGGAACAGCACCAGATGAGTGAGCCCTGGAAGAGCTGAGGCTAGACTCAGAGGCAGGCGCCAGGGGGCTGGGTGTGAGCTCCCACACCCACGAGGCTGGGCCTGCGCAAGCAAGAGCACTCACCCACATCCCAGCCACATGTGCGCGTGCAGAGCCACTGAGGTGTGCGCTGAGCCTGGGTACCAGGTTGTCCATTCCTAGGTGCTGGGCACCTCGGAGGAGCACTGAAGAAGGGAGCCAGCTGGCCTGGGCACTTGGGAAAGCTGGCACATTTCATGTCACTCCAGGAATGGAAGGAGGGTTGCTGGGGGAAACAGGGATCGAGAAAAGCCTTGGAGGAAGAGGAGCAGCCTGTACCAAAGCCAGAGAGAGACTCTGGAGCGTGCAGGGAGATGGAAGGCAGCTTTCTGCATAGTGGACTGAAGAGTGAGCCCTGTGGGCAGGGCCTGTAGGAGGCTTTCTCTAGTGGTCAGCAGAGCTGGGTAAAAGTGCATAGACAGAAACCGAGACAGCGGTGACACCCACCCACCTGCACACAGAGCCGCCAGGACTCCAGGTTTGCCTCTCTTGGAAAAAAGCCTACAGACAGGGACAAACTCCTCCGAGAGGAGGCCAGAAGGAGAGCAAGACTCCAGAGCAGGAAAGTCCTTCTCCCCTGGGCCCTTCCCACAGAAGCACGCTCATTCTGTAGGCAGTTATCAAAATCTTAGGAACCTGGGGTTCTACCATTTTCCGTCTGTCTTTTTTTTTTTTTTTTAGAGAGAGAGAGAGAATTTTTTAATATTTATTTTTTAGTTTTCGGTGGACACAACATCTTTATTTGTATGTGGTGCTGAGGATAGAACCCAGCGCCGCGCGCATTCCAGGCCAGCACGCTATCGCTTGAGCCACATCCCCAGCCCTTGATCTTTTGATAAACCCAGACAATAAGAGGTCTTCTTCCCAAAGGAAGCTTCAAAAGGTCAAAAAAAATTGGGGGGTGCTAGGGCCTCCCACATACTAGGCAAGGGTTCTACCACTGAGCTACACCCCAAGCCCCAACAGGTCATTTAATAGAGACCACAGGACATTAATCAAGGAAGTGGCAGAACAAAGTTCAGTAAAACTATAAATCCTGTGTTGTTGTTGTTTTTAATCACTATCAGGCTGGAGAATATAGCTCAGTAGTAGAGGGTAGAGTGGTACCAGGCCCAAGGTTCAATGCCCAGTATTACAAAAAAAAAAAAAAATTACCAGAATTTGTTATTTACTTACTTATTTATTTTTTGAGACAGGCTCGCGCTCTGTTGCCCAGGCTGGTCTTCAACTTCAGGCTCAAGTTACCTCCTGCCTCAGCCTCCTGAATAGCTGGGACTACAGGCACTCGCCACTGCTCCTGGCTTAGAATTTTTTAATCTTTCATTATGACAAAATTGTAGATAATTATGGGATAAAACAGATAAGCAAGAATAAGGAAATAAAAAGTTCATATTCTTACCACCCAGAGTTGATCACTGATACCCTGGTGTATATTCTTCCTAATATTTATATACATATATATGTTTGTATCTCTTCTAGATAATTATGATCATATATATGTAACTGGTTACATCGTTTTTGCTAAAATTACATAATACTCTACGTATGGTTTTATAACTGCATTTTAGTTAACAAACACTATCTTGCCACATATATACATTTTTATCTCTTCAAATATCCAATCCATATTCAAATTGCCCTAATACTTCCAGAAATATCTTTTACAACTTGTCCAAACCAAGACTCAATCCAGTACCTGTGCTAGATTAATCTGACACCGGTACACCTGGTTGTTTTGTCCCTTTTATTTTAGGGGGGATTTGTTGGAGACACCAAGTCAGTAGTCCTGCAGTGGTCCCACCTTTGGGATTTTCTGGCTGTATCTTCATGTTCCCTTGTGGAAGATTCCACTATCTTCCACCTTCCTTGAAAACTAGAAGTTCCATTGAGGGCTTCATAGGCTCAAGTTCAACATGGGGGCTAGAATGCATTTGGGGTGTGCTGTGCCTCACCCCAGGAACATCTCCTTTATGCCCATCAACTATGCTGGAAGGACCCCCTGACTTTTGTCATCATCTATGGAGTTTAGTTTAGCACAAGCCCCACAGGGGTTATTTGGTTTCATTGAAATAAACACCTATGGAAAGGATCAACTGTATCCCATAATTACCTATTTTCAAAGTAAGGGCGACAAATCACTCTATTCCCTGGTACTTAACTAATTTTCTAATCTGCTGCACTCTTGGGCATTCCTGGGGCAGTTCCTGGGTTTGACATGTCCCACACCCCAGGTCTCAGATGGCCCTCGGTTTCAAATTCCGACTCCCAGGCCAACCCCTGACCCACCCCAAAGGAGTTCCGGTGGCCTGTGATGCTGCTTTATAAAGTGCACTAGATCCAGATTCTCCAGGTCCTAGCTCAGGAGAGCCCTGTCATCTCCCCTGGTTCAGCCTGATTGAGAACCGAGAATGAATGGAGCTTGTTTCGAAGGAACAGTGGGCTGAGAGTTAGGTCACATGCCCCTGAACTAGCCTGGGAGATCAAGGGTGTTCATGATAGCAAGGGCAGCTAGGTGGGAGGGGTGGGCTGGCCGCAAGCTGCAGGCTGCCGGGGAGGAAGGAAGGATTGGTGGCTTGGAGGAGCAGAGGTGACAGGTGGAGCTGAGGGAAGAGGGTGTGCCCCAGGCCTTGCTTCCTTGTGACCTTGCCCCCATCTCCCCTCTCTATCCCGAGCAGCTCTACGTGGCCGCCGTACTGCAAGAGCCGGAACTGAACCTGACCCCAGCCTCCTCCCCAGCCCAGCACACCTACGGCACCATGAACAGCCAGCAGGAAGAGGGAGAAGAGGAGAGCGGTTTGAGGGGCTTTGCAAGGGAGCTGGACTCTGCCCAGTTTCAGGAAGGGCTGGAACTGGAGGGCCAGAGCCAGTACCACTGATCAAGACTCCAGTCAGGGGCTGGGGGACACCTGGCACGGGGAGGCAGGAGAGTGGCCCGGACCTCCCCACTCCCTCCCACAGACTTTGGGAAGCTCCAGGTGGAGACATCTGCTGCCCGGCCACAGCCACATGGAGACCTGACCTGCTGACCAATTAGAACGGGAGGCTCTGGGCAGTGCCAAGGGATCCCAGGATGGGATGGAGAAGGCCAATGCCAAGTCTTGGGAGAGATGGCTGAAACCCAGGACACAGACTGAGTGGTGGGTACCTTCCGGGGTCGAGATGGAGAAGGTGTGTATAAGGGAGGAGGCAGGAAGAAGCCCGCCCAGGCTCCCTGGGGTCTCCATTGCCCCTGCTCCAGCTGTCCTTCAGGGAGCTTCTGCTGCTCCACTCCCAAAAGAGGCAAAGGTATGTGCACTGGGTGTCACCCCGACTCTGGAGCATCTCAGCACAGGAGGATGAGGGGATCTGTAAAGTCTCTGCACTTACAGCCCCAAGCAGGGGACAGCCGAGACTGCAGACCTGAGCAGAGGTGACTGAGCCCCTTTCTGTTCCTCTGCCCTTGTGAGATGTCCCCAGGAGCGGCAGGGTGGAGGCCCTTTTCCTACTACTGCTAGGGTAGCTGGGACAAGGTTCCCCGGGCTCATTAAACCAGACCTGTGTGCATCCTGGTGAAGGGAGCCATGGCAAGTTCTTGTGGGTTGAGATAAGGTGGGGAGGAGCGGAGTCAGAGTTCAAGGAGGGGAGCTCTTACCCCCAAACTCCGGGGCAGTGGGAAATGGTCACACCTCCCCAAACCCTGGGGCTGAGTAAGAAGATCCTCAAAGCCAAAGAGATGGCCACCAAGTGCTTCCCCTGCCTCTCATCCATCTTGAGTCCTGGGTCCCCAGCTTGGCCAAGATGGGTGACAACTAAGGGTAAGAAATCCAGGCTTCAAAATGAAGGCACTGGCCATCCCCTGCCCTCCAAGTAGGATCCTAAGTGACCTCCAGTGTGGCCCTGGCTAAGACACTGCAGACAAGGGTGAGGAGGGATGAGGGGTGCATCTCTCCATGGAGAAGCCATTTCTGGTGGGGCAAGGATGACCTCCCAGAGCTGCCTCCCACTGAGGCTTGGAGGAACTGAATCTTGAACAATGCTGGTGACCCTCAGCACCTCTGCCACCATCCTGGGGGAGGGGGGAGGAGTAAAGGCCTCTGCCTCTTGACAGGCTGCCATCAGGATTACCATGCCATCAGCATTACTCAGCCAGGGTCCTGAGTAATGACCCTGGCTGCATGTCCAGGCCCTTCTGGGGCCTGGTAAACCACACAAGCCAAGTTGCATGGGGTCTGCGAGTTCCTGAGCTTCTTGAGCCCCCTCCTCCATAGGTCTGGCTCCCTCCCTTCTTCCAGCCTGCTGCAAGTGGGCCCAGGTCCCCCTCACCTCAGTGTGTCCACCGTCCCAGGCACATGGCTCCCTGAATGCAGATCACATAGGCCCATCCCTAGTCTGACTTTGCCCAGCTTCAAGCCTCACCCCAGGTGAGAAACAGCCACTCGAGGGACCTAGAGCACTATTTTCCCAGGGCTTAGCCCTGACTTTGGCACGGAAGATCCTTCCAGAGAGCTTGGGTCATCTGGGGAGGAAGCTATCTTCCATCCCTTCTCCAGCTTGGAATAAAGGAAAAAGTATACCCATCCAGGCCCCAAGCACCCAGATCCCACAGGAACCTCTCCCCTGGAATGTCACCCACCAAGGAGGGGAAAGCACCCTCCTGTAGCTGAGTGGTCCAGCCCAGAAGGGAGCTCTGCCCACAGTGGGAAATGACCGGCACCAGGCCCTACCTGCCCTGGCTAGTGGCTATTTGATATGTATGGGGTGTGGGGTGCTGACAGAGGCTGGTCTGGGGCCTGTCCTTCCCTGGGCACTACTAGACCTGCCCCTGGCCCTGCAGCCCTGCTGGACTGTTGCTGCTGGTCCTGCCGCCGGGCCTTCCCTCTTCCCCCATTCCCCTGAAGTCCATGGAAGCATCGTATGGGAAGGGCTCTGCAAACAACGTGGCAGACGGCTGGGGACTTCCATCTAAATCTGAGTCAAGTACTGGTGTGACTGTTGAGGAAGTGCCAGATCTACTTGCTTCTCTACTTTTCCTGGAGACCCAGGGCCATGGAGAAGGCCCTGCTGAGCATACTTGACCTCAACCTCCCATGGTCACTGACTGGGGACCGAGGGGTCCTTCAGCTCCTCACATGCATACCACATCCAGGCCCTCCCTGAGAACTTCCCCTCTCCCACCTCCCCTCCCAGCCCACACCCGTCTTGGCCTGTCTTCCACCATCCCACCCTTCCCCACCCCAAATCCATCCATATAATCCTTTCTGGAGGGAGCTGCCTCTTGGGGACTTGGTGTGGCCTAGAGCCTCCCAGAGGGGCCTCCCCAGGCCTTGAGCAGCCCCGGCCCTGCCTGCCTGGCCCTCAGTTGCCTCTGGAAGCAAAGTGCCTATCAGCAGCATTGCGTCCTCTAGGGGCCCTGGAGGGGTTGTGGACTAACCTTGGCCACCACCACTAAAGGAATGTGCCAGAATGCTGAACCTTCTTGTTATCAATGCTATGACTGTGCCTTGAATAAATAAGTCCTCCCAACCTCTGCCGGCCTGCGCCTCTGCATCTGGGCCAAGCCAGCAGGGCCCTCCTCTACCTGCAAGGAACCAGAGCTCCTACGGGATAACCCCCAGGGCCTCAGGGCCCAGGCACCACACCTCCCTGCATGGCTTTTGCCCCTGGGGCCAGGCCTGCCCCTCAGCAATCCTCTCACCCCTGAGGCCTTCCCTGGCGCTGACCCCAGAGGAAGGCCAGGCAAGGGCTGCCTTCTGCTGGAGGGATGGGGAATGGCTCAGCCTCCCCCTGCCGTGCAGAGGTGAGAGAACTCGAGTCATCCAGGAAACCCTAAGGGCAGCCTCACTGGAGCAACAGAAGCCCCAGATGAATGCTGGGCCCTGTGAGGGGACAATTGGCCTCTGCCAAAGGAGGGACTAGATTTCAGGTGGAGGCCCCATGAAGAGTGACAGGGCTCAGGTCTACGCCTAGCAAGGGACAAAGGGGGTCAAAAAGAGGTTGGCATCAGGGAGGTGTGGGGGGCAAGCTGGGTCAGGCCTGGGCAGGACAAGAAATGCAAAGGCTGTCACACCTGAGGCAAGGAGGAGAAAACGGGTCCCTACCCAAGGAAAATGTCTCTGGGTAAGAGACTCTGGATCTGGCCTTTCCTTCATCTAGCTGATGACCTAGGCCGGTTACCTCACAGAGAAAGTCAGGGTAGGAGACCAGGCACAGTGGTGCACCCCAGCAATCCCAGCTGCTCCAGAGGCAGAGGCAGGAGGGTTGCAGTTTCAAGGACAGACTGGGCCACTTAGACCCTGTGCAATACTATATGATTTTTTTTTTTTTCTTTTTAAAGACAAGGTCTCACTCAGTTGCTCAGGGCCCTGCTAAGTTGCTGAGGCTGGCTTTGAACTTATGATCCCTCTGCCACAGCCACCCGAGCTGCTGGGATTACTGGCATGAACCACGGTGCCCGGCTTCACAAAAAACTCAGTGGTAGTGTGCCCCTGGCTTCAATCTCCAGTACTTGAAAGAGAAAAAGAAGGGGTAGGAGTCCATGCTCTGCCCTATTTCTGAAGAGATCAGAGGTCAAGGAGGCTTCCTTCCCATTGCTGCTGTGGGGACAGAGGATGAGTCCAGGGGTGGCTGCCTGAAGACTGTACCCCACTGCCCTCACTGTGCCTCTCCTTAGGCTCTCATTGTCCCATCAGTGGGTGTGGGGCCAGAGATCATCCTCCTATTTCCTCTCCCCTGAAAAAACAACTATTTTTCAAGTCAAACCAGATGAAACCCACCAGGGCTGCTGAATGCAGGGGACAGAGTAGCATAGACTCCTGCCTGATTTTAGAGGGCTAATGGCCGCTGCAGGAAAGGGCCCTTCTCCTGGGGTCTATGCAATCCTGTTAGCTGCCTCTGAGGGTCTCCTCCAAGGGGCCAGCAGCCTCCAGGGTCCCCAGATGGCAGGCCCTGGGCTATCCCTTGGTTTAGCTGCCCTATCAGGGGACTCAGACAGAGACAGACATACAGACAAGATGTGGAGCCCCAAATAGGGGGTACCCAGGGAAGGCTGGCCCCTCTGCTCAGCCATCCAGGGAGGCTGGGAGGCCTACAAAGCAGCAGGGTGACTGGGCATGGGTCTGTGGGAGAGGCACGGTGCCAGGGAGGCCAACAGGGCTGTGTCCACGGGACACTAGAGTACCAGTCTGAGCACCACACAGGGCACTGCCAGGTCGGGGAGGTAATAGGAGTGCCCAGGGCTCCCCAAGCAAGGGTGGCCAAGAGGACCCCCAGGGCAGCTCCCGGCCACCCTCCCAAAGCCATGGCACTGGAGCTGTGGTACTCGGGCCTGTCCTGGGTGGTGGTGCTGGCCCGTGGTGCTCTCTGGAAGGCCTGGCGAGCATGGGGGCTGGAGGGCTGGTTCACAGAAAGACAAGCTCCTGGGTTCGCTCAACAGAGCCTGTTTTCTGAAAATGTTTTGGTCCCTGGCCTTGACAACGAGCAGGCCAGCATCAGTCAAGCCTCCGTGGCTGGGTCCTTCAGCCCAGCCACAAGTGGGAGTCTCTGGAAATTCTTAAACCCAATGCCCAGACCCCATCCCCGAACAAACCAAAATTTCTGGGGTGGTGCCCTGTCACCTCCGTTTTTACAGATGTCCCTCAGCTGGCTGTATTGTGCAGGGAGAGGTAAGGAGGCTCAGCATCTCACCAGCTGGGGCACAACTTCTGTCATAATAATCTTTCTTTTCAAAAGTGTGATTACTGTTTGGGACACACCAAGCCTCAGGGGGCCCTCTGACTGACTACCTTGTCACCTGCAGTAGCAGTGTGGAGAATCTCCTCTTCCTTCAAACACAGATGCCAAAGTGGCTTTCATGCCCATTTCTATGCAATAGAAGGTTCAAGTGCAATAAACAGATTATATAAGGGGCCATCAGGGAGGAATGAGTGCTTTGAAGAAAGGACAAAGCAGGATGAGGGCAGGAAGTGACTGGAGATGAGGAGGATCCAAGATGAACTCCATGAGAATAGAGGGACCACACACAGGTCCCAAAGGGCAGTGAGGAGGCCAGAGTGGCCGAAGCAGCATGAAGATGGGAAGGAGAGGGTCAGGGTGAGGCCTGAGAGCAGCAGGCTTTGTAGCCTTGGTCCGGCTCTGGGTTTTACCAATGATGTAGGAAGCTACTGGAAGATTCTGAGCAGGGGAGTGGCAAGATCCTCTTATGTTTTTAATTTTTTTCCAGTGTTGCAAAATATTTACCGTCTTAACCATTTTAAATATATAGTTCCCTGCACATTTATAATGTGTAACTCATCCCCAGTCATCTCCATGAGTTTTCCTCTTGGAAGCAATGACTCCTGGAGATTGTCATCCTCTGTCCCCACAGGGAGGAGGCCTGTGAGAGCTTGAGGCGGCCCAGCGTGAGTGGGGGTGGGGAGCTGTCCTTGGACAGCTACTGTGCAATCACTGGAGCTGGGGGTAAGGGACGGACCAGGATGGGGCAGAGAATAAGGAGAGACGTAATTGAATTTTTCCTAGGGGCCAAGGATTCCTAGCTGGATTAGGTGTGGAATCTAAGGGAAAGAAATAAAGATGAACCCCAGTTTCTTGGTAAGCAGTGGTTTATGAGGTAGAGAAGCAGGTGGAAGGAGCAGGTTGGGGTGAGGTGGGAGGGATGCCAAGAGTCCCATTTGGTCGTGTTGCATTTGAGGTGTTCAAGAGGAGGTCGAGGAGGTGGCTGGATAACAGGGTCAAGCTGGAAACATAGAGCTTGGGGTCATCACGTCCTGTCTGGTGGTAGCGCAGGGCACTGGCTGAGACCCTAAGCGAGCAAACACAGGTGAGGAGGTCCGAGGGCTGAGCCAACCCAGGACGTGAAAAAGAGAAACTACAGGGAAGGAGCAGCGGCCAGGACCTGGAGCTCTTGGAGGGACTCAGGAAGCAAGGAGGGGTCCCCAGTCTAGCCACACCCGACTGTAACTCGGGACACAGACCGGTGTAGACAAGCCAGTTACGTGAAGCCATGAAAGAACACGAAGTTGGGTTTTAAAAGTCTTGGGTGGGTTCAGTGGCGCACACCTGTAATCCCAGCAGCTTGGGAGGCTGAGGCAGGAGGATCACAAGTTCAAAGCCAGCCTCAGCAAAAGTGAGGCACTAAGCAACTCAGTGAGACCCTGTCTCTAAGTAAAATACAAAATAGGGCTGGGGATGTGGTTTAGTGGTCGAGTGGCCCCGAGTTCAATCCCCAGTAACCCCACCCCCCCAAAAAAAAAGTCTTCATGAGGAAGACAAGAGGCAGGGGGATCTTGAGCTGCTCACTGTCGCTGCTGGCTGGGGTACGTGGAGCTTCACCCGTCTTGATTTTTGTCATTGTTAGCATTTTCCCATTTAAAAAAAACAGGGTTTAAAAATAAAGGAGTGATCAATGCTTTCTAGTGCTGCTGAGCACAGAGCAAGGTGAGGACTGTGGGCCATGAATCAGGCAAGACAGGGCCGCTAGTGACCTTGACCGTGGCAGACGGAGTGGAGAGAAAGCATGGCTGGAACAGGCTCCCACTCTCTCCTGGGAAGTGGGGAAATGAAGGCGGGAAGGGGGGAGACCACTCTTTTGAAGGGTTTTGACATCAAAAGAAGTAAAGGAAGCAGTTGCTGGGGGGAAAGGGGGCTGGTCTTCGGATAAGACGGGAGATGCAGGCACAAGGAAGGGGAAGGATCCTGCAGGGTCTGGGCGGATGGTAAGGCTGAGACCCAGAACAGAGGAGGGAAGGACCCATGGTACACGTGCTCAGAACGGTGGCCTGTGTGGAGGTGGGAGCCCTAGACCTGGGGTAGCCAGGTCATCCCAGTCACCTGAGTGCACATCAAACCCCAGGACCTTAGGCCGGGCATAGACGCCCGAGTCTGAGCTGGCCTTAGGTCAGGCAGTGACGAGGCCCTGTCTGCTGGAGCCTGTGGGGCTGGAGATCCAATGCGGCAGCCACTGGCCCCGCAGGCCCTGCATCTGAGATTAGCAAAAATGATGCCTCAGCTGGGGGCTGGCAGGACACTACGGGCGCCAGCCCCCACTGTGCAGGCTGAGGACTGCTGGCCGCTGTCCCGGGAGTAGCCCCTCTGGCCAATCCCAGACGAACTGGGAGGCCCGGAGCCTGCTCCTGTGATGGCCACTCAGTGCTGCTCCCCTCCCCATGTCCCAGGTCAGTCTTGCCCATCTCTTTCCAAAACCCTAACCCATGGACCGCTCCACACTGTGGACTCTGGTGGCTGCAGGTTGTAACTGACCAACCAAAACACTTAACAGCGCAACAGAAGACACGTTCCTATCTGTTTCTGATAAAATTCCAAATGGGCGATCCTGATGAGAGGGAACCCTCTCCAAGCAGTGATTCAGGGACCAGACTCCTTTCACCAGGTGGCTCTGTCCCCTTCAGCACATGGTCCTCAAAGTCACTGTGAGGTCTGCTTCGAACTGGCAAGGGTTGACAGAGCAGGAGGAGCACAAGGGGGCTGGGGGGGACACACCAAGAAGGGGTGCAGCCCCACACATTGTTCATTGACAGAGCTGTCCCCTTCCTGCCTGGTTGCAAGGGAGGCTGGGCAGTGTCGCCCAGCTGTAAGCACAGGAGAGACTGGGTTTGGTGGCCTGCCAGTCAGTCTGAAGCCCAAACCAGCAGCTCCATCTCCACCATGGCCTTCCAGCCTCCCCAGCCTCTGCCTTATTTTCCACCATCTCTGGCCTTGGCTCCGCTAACCACGCCCCCCCCCCCCCCCCCCCCCAGGACATGCTAGGTCCCATGCCCTGCAGCTGCATTTAGAGCAGGCAGGGCCCAAGAAGAGACCAGTCCCTGAAGGTTAGACAGGCAAACAGGACATGTTTATTCCTCGAAGTTTACAGGACCACAGCAGAGAGCAAAAGGGTCGTAGAGGTGGCCGGCAGCGGGCCCTTCCCGCTGCTTCCTCTTCCACCCACCTGCCCAAGTCCTGGCACTCCACGGGCATTAAATATGGCAGCTGTGGGGCCCCAGCCCGAGCAGGTGAGCAGAAAGGAGGTGGGGAGATATGGCGGCCCTGCTGAAGCTGGGTGACTCGGTGGCCCCTCCTCCTTGACCTTCCCAGCCCCTCCCAGTCCTGTTCCCTGATGCTGTTCCCTGCAGCATCAGGGAGTTCCCGCCAGGAGTGCCCAGGGAGGGCCCGATGTTCTGCCAAAGCCTCTGGGGGTATCTGAGCAGTTGAGAGCCAGAGGAGCCCCAGGGTGGAGCAGCCACCCCCTTCCCAAGGCACCCACTACTTGCTCCACTGCTGGGACACGTCTGTCCCTAAGTCTGAAACAAACACCCGAGGCAGGCAGGAGAGCAGCACAGGCCTGGGCAGCAGGGGGCGGTGCTGGAGCCCAGCCACTTGTCCTAGGAAGGGCGACACAGAGAGGAGCCCCCGGCTCTCGGAGCTCCTTCCCAGCCCCACGCCACCTCTGCCCCCCAAACTCTCTCCTTCTCATGGGGCAAGAGGGGGGTGCCAGGGAGGTCAAAAGGCAGGCGGGGAGGAGGCTGCGGGGAGGAGGGGAACCCAGAAGCCCCTTCCTGCTGTGCATTTGGGAAGGGGGGACCCGCTCCTGCCCCATCACCTCTCCAGTATGGCCAAGGGGACAAGGACCGAGATGCAGGGAGGCCTGGAGGAGCCAGGGCTACAGTGGACACAGACCAACAGGCAGAGAGCTGAGGCTGCCTCTGGGCAGGGGGCTCCTTTTACTCGTCGTCCCAGCCCCGGCTCATGGCCGCCACCACAAGCCCGTAGAGCTGGCTCCAGGCGGCCCGCATGGCCGGTGTGAAGGCCGGGCCCAGGCACTTCTCCAGCATGTAGAGCAGGGACTCACCCACCGTCTGCAGAGGAAAGGGGTGCCTAGTCATTCCAAAAGGCAGGAAGGCACTGCTCCATTGCACAGATGAGAAAACCGAGGCCAAGGACTGGGAAGGGTTCCTGGCCTCCTTCTCTCCTGCACGGGGCTGATGCTTCTTAAGGAGGGTCCTATCCCAGTCCTTGGGAACCACATTGTGTCCACCTTCTCCCCAAATGTGACACATTACAGCAAATAGAACCTTCCACTCCAGTCCCAGCTTTGCAACCACTCACAAGAGGATCAAGGCATTTCCTGGCTCCGAACCGACCAAATCATTGCCCCTGAGCCTCAGTTTTCCTCCCCCGCAAGGCAGCAGTCATAGAGTTAAGGGTCTAGGCTGCGGAGCCAGATAGACCTGCGTCCAGATTCTGACCACCACTGAAGAGCTGGGTGACCCTGAGCAAGTTGCATAACCTCTCTCAGCCTCAGTCTATATCAATTAAACAGGCAAAGTAAAGTCCAAGTCCTGGGCTTGTTGGGAGATTCAGTGGGATAATCTATAAAAAGCACAGTATTTGCAAACACTAAGCCTTTGGCCATATGATGCTCTCATTTGTTATTATTAATCAAATACGGTTTATTACTCACAGGCCAGTTTGGACCTACCAGCCTCTTCTGAACGCCCAGCTGGATGCCAGATGTGGGTGATTCCAACCACACCATGTGGATCAGAACTGCCTACTTGAGCTCTACCCTAAGAAATTAGAAATCGTTGCTTTAAGCCAGTACTTTTTGGGGTGGTTTGATACCCAGCAGTGGAATGCTGAACCAACCAAACATGCCCAAAAGCTTCTAAACTTTATAGTTCTAAAAAGAAAACTGTATCAGAGAAGAGAACTTGGAGGCTCAGAGAGGTCAAGCCAGCGTCCGAGTCACACAGCAGATAATAACTGATGTGGGCCACCAGAACTGGTCATCTGAATGGAAGGGCATGGGTGGAGAGAACAGGTGCTAGGGGAGGACTGGAAAGAGGAAGAGCCCCTTTACCCACCGAGAAGGAGCTGAGCTTCACGCCCACTGCCTGGTGCTTCCTGCCCAGGCCAGCAAGGTAGTCCTCCAGGGACGACAGGTCCTCCACATTGGTCACTGCAGTGTCAATCACGAACATCACCTGCCAAGGCAGAGACAGCAGTGACAGAGAGGCCCGAGCAACCCTACTGCACATGACCACAACCCAGAACCCGGGGTCCCAACCAGAGGGCAGTGAGGGCTGCAGGGCCTCGGTTTTCCAGGACCAGGGGGACCTGGCAGCCTGTGTCCACGTCAGCAGGCACTCAGCGGGTGGGTACACCCCTGAAGGAAGTCCTCCTCCTCCTCCAAGGATCTCAAGTCCCTAACGTGCCTGCTGGACGGTGCTGTCTGCCCAGGCCGAGGAGAAACTGAGGCCCCTGTGAGGAGCCTTTAGGAAACCCCAACCCGGTTTCCATGGGCAGGAGTGCGCCAGTCCCCCTGATGGGGCGGGGTGGACAAGGTCAAGGGCAATGACAGGCTGGGACCAGCTGGCTAAGCACAGGGTCAGGGAGGAGGGGAGCCATCACAGCAGTCAGATCAAGCCCAGGCGGAAGTCTTCCTCCCTGTCCCAAGCCCCTCCTCCTCTGCTGGATCCTGGTGGCCACTGAGGCCCCCCCCCCCCCCGCCCCGCCCCTCACCTTCCTGATGTGGTCCAGGAACTCCGGGGAGGACAGGCAGTCCTCCGGGCTAGAGAACTGGCGGCCGTTGTACTGGAAGAGGGGCAGGAGCTCGGGCTCCAGGGCAAACAGCCTGCGGGGGGAGGGGAGGGGGGTCAGGGGAACAGGGGTCAGGCGTCGGGTGTGTCCAGCAAGCACCAGTGACCTGGCTGGCAGGCAGTGAAGCTGAGCTTCAGTGGTGGCCACCAACCACAGCATACCCTCCCTCCTGGCACTGCCAGCCTTGCCAATGCCCTCCTCACCTCTCCCCAGACCCTGAAGGGCATCCCTGAGAGGACAGTAGTCCCCAGACCTCTTACACTACCTGGCATACAGTGGCCCCTCCATAAATATTAAGGAGGAGGTTTGGGACAGGAAGGCAAGTAAGAAACCTGGAGCTACCTTGAGGAGGGGACCTCCCCCCACCCCTGCTCTTGGGTTAGGACTTCTCAGTCTCATCATGTCTGAGGAAGCTCTGAGTACCAATGATTCTAGCAAAAACAAAATCCTTACGCTTATGGAACACTGAGTACTTCACAGGTGGTTGACTTGTAATTTTGTATCCCTCATAATTTTAAGCAGTGAGTGCCTTAGACCAATTGTACAAAGGAGGAAACAGAATCCCAGAGAGGCTAAGCAACCTGCTAAAAGTCACACAGCTTGAGAGTAGTGGAGCCACAGCAGATGCCAGTGGGGGGGAAAAAATGATCTTGGGGAAATCCAGGAGTCACAACCAGAAGCTATCAGCCTTATTCTGGAGGGTTCCTGCTTTTGCGTAATTCTTGCAGCTTTGTTATGTATTGACTGCGTCTGAGGGGGTTGGAAGTGGGTTGCAAAACTTGGTCAGAAGTTTTGGGCTGGCCTAGGAAGCCAAGTTTCCTGAAAAACCCGGATGTAGAGAGTATGGCCCCACTGGTGATGGCAGAGGGGTTCCAGAGAGAGACCCAAGGTGAGGCTGAAAATTAGCTTTCCCTGCCCTGTAGGACCTGCACACCCCCTACTCTTCTTCCTGGTGGTAAGACTTGGGTGTTTGTCACCCCTACTCTGGAGGTTTTCGGGTCCTAACCTGGTCCTTTCCCAGAAGGGTTTACCCTGCCGGTTGCTGGGAGTGCGCACTCCTGGGGCCCCGTTGCAGGAAGGAGCTTGCCCTGCCTGCCAGGCGCCTGGCACACCCTACCACACCGGCCTTCGGGATGCTCCAGTCTCCTCCTACCGACGGCGGTAAGCACCCCTGCTGTCCCCACCCAAGAAACACTCAGGAAGTGCAGGGTCGAGGAGGGGGGCACAGCGCGGGACCAGCTTCCGCCCACCCAGGTGTAACCAGAGAGATTCGAGTGAAGGATCCCACCTGTCGCCAGCGAGGCCAGCTGAGAGCAGGGTGTGCTGCACTGGCTCCTAAGATGCGCCCATGCCCCAGAGAAGAGCAGAAAAGGGTGCGCCACCCGTCGCCGAGCGCTGCGCTCCTCTGGCGCACATCTGGCAGGCCCCCCAGAGCCACCGCAGTGGGCCGGTTTTTCCTCCTCCGATCCCATTGCAGCTGCCTTGAAATCGCTCCTGGCGCTGCACCCCTTCGCCCACCCGCACCCCCCGGGCGCTCCGGCAGCCCTCACCTGGCGAACAGGACTGTGCCATGCTCCAGCGGGCTGCGGCTCACCGCCCTCCAGCTTTGCCGGATCAGCTCGGGCTCTGGGCGCTCCATGCTTTCTCCGGGACGCGAGGCGCAGCGCTGGGACCCTCGGGGCTCGGGCGCCGTCACCGCACGTGCCACGCCATCTCCGCGGCCACGCGGGCCCCTGCGCCTACGGCCCCTTGCCTCTGCCGGGCGGGGCCCAACAGCCGCTCCTCGCCTGGCCCGGAGCCAAGAGAAGATGCCCGCAGCCCGCCAAAGGTGGAAGCGCCCCCGGTGTCAGTCCTGCTGGCGCTTCCGGGGACCCCGCTGGGCTGCTGCGCCCTGCACCCTGCAGCTCTAGAGCCGCCCTTTAAAGCAACCGCGGCCCCGGTCCCCCTCCTGTCCAGCAGGGCGCACACTCCCTCTGCCACCGCCTTGGCCAGGGACGACCTGGAGGCCTTGGGAATGTCCAGGTTTAGAGCCGAGCAAATCATTCAGGCTCTCTTGGCCTCAGCTTGTCCCTCGGAAACTAGTGAGACTAGTTACTACATAGGGCGAGGAGCCCCAAAAAGACTGCGTTGAATTTGATTCTTCCTCTTAGACGCAGCTTGTGGCCACCTCTCCAACAAGCCCCATTCCAACACGGCCTGGAGACTGGAGTTTGTTGCTTTCTGAGCACATGGTCTTTGCTCAAATCGTGCCCATTTACTGTTTCTTTCTGTCAGGATGTGGAGCCAGTGCGCACCAGGTCATCTACCTTATGACTAGGCTGTCTGGTTGTCCAAGTTCTGAGTCTGACAGGGGCACCTTGGGGACTACTAGAGCTTTCAGCTTAGGAGTAGACCACGGCCATTTCCATCCAGACCCAGATTTTCCTGAGACCCCCATTTCTGGAAATCTGTGAGTTGTGTTTGCAATCGCAGCCAGGGCATTAGACGCGTTACAGATGTGGAAGGGGTTCAGCTCTACCATTCATTCCATGGCTCCATGGATTATTAAAAATCATGACTTTTTTTTTTTTTTTTTTTTACTAATAGTACTAGTCCAGGTCAAACACTCATGCCAACCCCTCAAGGTGTGCCCTGGCCACCTGTCCAAACCAAACTTGTCAACCATGAAAATTCCTTCAGCTGCCCAGACCCAGCAGCCTAGGTTAGGGAGAACGGGCCTATTTTCATCCTCATCTTACTTTTCATAAATTTTGAGTATCTGAGCTGCTCTCCTCTCACTCTGCCCCCATCTCTGGGCCTTAGTTCCAGCGGCTGTACCATAGGGGGGTTGGGTGGCAAGGTCTCCAGAGGCCACCTCCTTTGATCCCATGGATCCCAGACAGTTTCGAAGATTAGTTATGAACAGGTTATGGCTTCATGGCCAGCCCTATGCTAGACATGAGTGCTAAAAACTTCTAAAACTTCTAATCCTGAATCAGGACTAAGGGACTAGGACTAGTCCTGATCCAGGCCAAGCCCATTGAGGCCATCTGGCTGCTCCCCCTCCTCCAGGGCAGAGTTTGGGCACACACTCTTCCCCATCTTCCCAGTTATCTCCCTGCGCAGGAGCAGGAGAGTAAGGCTTTGGGGCAGCCTGGAGTCCTAAAGAGTTTGAGAGGTCCCCACGCAAGAGTACAAAGGGATTAAGGCTGAAGGAAGAAGGAACCAAATTTCCAACCTGGGATCCCATAGCTCTGTAGGAACAGAAAACCATGTGGAAAGGCCACATGAGACTTTGGTGACCTTTGCCCTTTAGTGCTCAGATGCCTGGTGCTCTGTGAAGGCACCTGCTCTACCCAGTTTGCACTCCCTATCAACAGTCCACCCTTCTCCCTTGGATAGGGTCAGCAGTCTGAGGAGCTCACAGGAGCTACTGGCCTTAGCGGGGAAATGGTAGAGTGGGCTCAAACCCACGGCTCTCTTCTGCTTTCCTAGAGCCATAAGGCAGGGAAGAGGGCCAAGTGTACTCCAATCTCTGCTTCCCTTGGAGAAGGGCCTGAGAATCAGGTGTGGCTGAAGGAGCCCAAGTGACGTGTCCCATCCAGGACATGTAGTGACTAAACTCTCTTCTGAGGGGCTGGAACTCTCCTCCCTGTGGGGCACCTGCGGAGATGCACGTAGGCTGTAGCCTGGATGAGCCTTCAAGTGCTTTTCTTCAGCCAGCACTGTCGCTCAGAGCAATGTATCATTAGTAACAGCAAAGTGCTAGTTTTGAGCACCAGTGACACTGTGCTCGTTAACTCTGCATTCAACAGTCGATGAAGCCAGTTGAGGAAAGGAGGCAAAGAGGTTAAGTAACCAGCCTGAGGTCACATAGTAGACAAGTGATGGGGCCAGCACTTGACCACAGGGGGACCCCCAGCCCATCCTCTCCACTGTTCCCTCACCAAGACCAAGAGCAGTGTCCATGGTTCAGACCAAGTCAAAGCCACTGGGTCTGGGTCAGAGGTGTGCTAGAATCAGCTCTGACAGGGCTTAGAAAGCCAGATGCCTACATCTCTTTCCAACTTCTCATTCAGTTGGTAGCTTGAAATAGGCCGATGTGGGAGAATTGGAAATTGGCAAATGTTACAATCAGGGCTTCTCGTAGCTCAGAGAAAACTTGCTGTTAAACATCTACCACCACTGGTCTGGGCACACCTGGGGAACCAGGAGAAACCTGTTCCAAGCAGAGCTGCAGATGCGCTACACAGAATGTACACAGGAATGCACCGAGTGGGGACACCTCACCTCAGGGCATCCAGCGCTGCCAGAGGGCTCTCAGGAGGTGCTGCCAGTCCAGGCTGGAGAAGCCAAGAATGCCCAATTTGGTGCTAATCCTGCCTCTACTATTTCCTAGCTGTAGGACCTCAAGCAGGGAATTTAATCTCTCCCAGGTAGAATGGAGACAAGAACACCATTGACTTCACCAGGCCTTTAAGAGGAATCAATGTCACAGGTGTGTCAAAATTCCATGAACTGGCTGGGCGTGGTGGGGCATGCCTGTAATCCCAGCAGCTCAGGAAGCTGAGGCAGGAGGAGCAGAGCCAGCCTCGGCAAAAGCAAGGTGTAAACAACTCAGCGAGACCCTGTCTCTAAATAAAATGCAAGTAAGGGCTGAGGTTGTAGCTCATGGTTAAGCACCCCTGGGTTCAATCCTTGGTACCAAAAAATAAAATAAAAAATCCATAAACTAAGCTGTGCCATTCTAAGTATTGAATCTGTTTCTGACCTGTCTGTCCCGGGCATTTTCCATCTCCTGAGGATCTGCACGACCTGCCCTCCTCCCCAGCCTGCCTCCAACCACTCTTGGTCCTGAGGGGAGCAGTCAGAAGAAACCAGAAGACCCCCAACTTCCCCCATGTGGTAACACTCCCTCCTATCTCCTCCAACACATAAGTCAACTCCCTCATGTCATTCCAGAAGACAAGACCCCATCAGGACAGAGCCTCTGTTAAGAAAATGGCAAATTGCTACAATACTGGGCCACTCAGAAGGGGACAAAGGGCTATACTGTCTGGGCAGTCAAACAAGAAAAAAATACAAGGTCAGCTTCCTACTTATCTTAGAATACGTAAACTTAAATATCCAACATTATTCAAGTAATTATGTACCGGGGAAGGCCCAAGTGCCCTGGCTGGCCAGAGCCTCTGCTGGGACGAGAAGGGCCTCAGACATGACAACGTTGAGATGGTTCTTGCCCTCCACACCTTCTTCTCTTCTTAAGGAGGCCTTTCTGGCAGCCAGAGGGAAAGTCAGGTTCAGTTAAATACAAGAACGACAAGCAACATGGCATTCAGAACAAGAGCTATTTATTACAAAAGGAACCGCTTACGGTTCCACTTTTCTTTTTCTTTCTTTTTTTTTTTTTTATTTAAATAAAACGTGGCTCAAGATGCTGGCTCCAGGTTGGGCTTACTGACAAATGTCTCCTCCTCCACCTGCAGCCTGTGAGATATGTCACCTTTCTGCCAGTTCCCAAGGCTGCAGCCCACATTCAGAGCAGCACCTGACGGTCTCTTCCCCCAGCACCTTCCAAACAGCACCTGAGCCCCTTGCAGCTGTACCACTCCATGTGGCCTTGTCCCCAGAGAAGTGTTTGCCAGCATGAGTGTGGAGAAAAAGGAGTGGGAGTGAGCCCTCTTTCTTCCATCCTTGGAAAGCAGCGCAAGAGACTGAGGGAACTTTTGTCCCCAGTGTGACCAAATTAGGAGGGAGGGTGGGTGGGTGCTAGCTGAGCTCTCTCCTCGCTTCCCCTCATCCAGAGGTCACCCTATTGGCTTCTTCAAATGCCTCCCTTCCAACAAGTTCTTCTTGGGAAATGAGAAGGCAAAAGGGAAAAGAAGCCACCTCCTGGATGTCATCATGGGTCACCATCTTGGCTAAGAGCCAACAGATTCCTGCATCCAAACCTCTGAGACCCCATCCAGATGGTGCCCACACCCAGCTCAGGAGAAGCCAACTCCACCTGTGAGGAGGAGGGCGCAAGGGCCAGAGCTCATCCATTCTGCTCTCCTCCCCTGGCAGAAATGCAATTTAGCAGGCGACCCAGACTCTGCACGCAGGCCACACTTCCTGCTGGGGAGTCAAAAGGGCTGCAGCCGTGGGAGAGGGAGGTCATGGGGCCTCAGATCTAATTAGCCACTCTGCCTTGCTTTCCACGTGGCTGCATTTCCTCTATTAACATTAATGATGCTTGGTCTGAACGTCCACGCATGGCCCAGAAACTTCCCTCCCTACCACTCAAGAGGTAGCACAGTCTGTCCCTGAGACCAATTTCCAGTCTCCGTGGCAACCATCTCCTGAAGATGCTTTAAAGAGCTCTGACCCTGTCAGAGTTGTTGGGAACTACTGCAAGGGAAGATGAAACGTGGCAGAGATTCATCATTAAACCCTGAAACATCAAACTCCTCTGAGACAAAATAAACATTTTTGTCTTGTACTGAGAGGAGGGAGGCAGGCTGAAGGGCTGGCCTTGGGTTGGTTTGGTTCTGACCCAAAAGTTTTCCTAATCCCTCTGGGGAGACAAGTGGAAGGAGAGGCTCTGAGCTCCTCAGCTGTGCTTCAAAGTGGTAGACGCTGGAGCTGTTGTGCATCTGCAGGAGTTCTGGGTTTGGGGATAGGAGATCAGTGAAGCAGTGAACAGGAAAAGGGAAGCACCAATAGCCAAAGAGGGTATCAACAGGGGAGGACTGGAGAGGTCAAGAGGTCCAGCAGGAATGGGAACGTCATGGTCCGGATGGGCCAGAGCACCCCCTGCCCTGGCACAGAGCCACAGACCCTGCTCTCCCTTTATCTGTCTTAGCAGTTATGAAGGGTTCCCAAGGGCTTTCCCGGTGATCAGGAGAGAGCGGCTGTCCTGGTCCTTGTGGCCAAGTCAGATATAGAAGGAAAGGGACAGACAGTGAGAAGGACCCTCTGGAGTACAGGCCAAGGGACATGGAGCTGCCAAGGACAGGGTGGGGTTCTTCCCATCAACCTCAGTGTGACATTCCCAGAGAAAGGGGAACAGGGCTGAAGCCCAGTGCCATGCACACTGCAGGCAGAAGTTCAGCCACCTGTGGTCACAGAGGACACTCAAGGAGGCAGCAGGGAGCAGGCCCTCCAGTGCAGGACACTTGCTCTCTTCAGCTGGACTTGTTTGCTTATGGGAAGGAGGGTAGTGCGGCTTCAACGGTCCCATCTGCTATGCCCCTGGTGACATCCCCAGGGGTCAGTCCCTGAGGCCCTCTTGCAGGTCAGAGGCTTTCTAAGGGATCTTAGAAACCCAAACCAAACCAAATCCAATGTGAACAAATACCAGAAAATATTACTGTAGCCCTGGACTATTTCTTAAGAGTTTATGACTCTCAGCTGTCCACAGTTACACGGTCCATATTCCACAGGGATTTGGACAAGTGTGCATCTCACACACACACTCCCACACTCACACCCACCCTCATGCATGCTCATCCTCCCTTGTGTTGCACACTTGGGGAACTGGGCCTAGGAGACGCTGTCCTCTGTAGTGCTGCAGACAGGCTGTGGCTCATTTTAGTGTTGAGTTTAATCCGGGTTCACTCCCGGAGCTCAGTCCTGGCAGGCAGCAGAACTCTCCAGGCTCCTGAGGCAGTGCTCCCGCAGCCGAAGGGTCCAGGGACTGGCTCACAGCTGGTGTCCCCAGGAAGTTCCTGGATCCAGGCTGGGGTCCTTGCAGTGGCCTCAAAAGTCCCATGATTCCAGCCACCTTAGTCCTGCCATTGGACTCTTGGGGTCCTGGGCTAAGGGACCAACCATCCCGTAAGCCAGAGGGTGGAAGAGGTAGAAGCTGTGAGAGAAGCAGAGAGAGGCAGTGGACATCCCAGGCCAAGCTGAGGAGCCTGACGCCAGCTGTTCCTGCTGGAGATCCCGGGTCTCTGCCAACAGCAGTCCTTCTCTCTCAGTACCCCGTCAGTGCGAGCTCACCATACGGGCAAACTCTGGCATGACCTGAGAGCTTAACAACAAGGAAGGAAAGGGCTCTTCCCCACAGGCCTGGGACAGGGACCCAGCTTAGGGTCTGGCTGCGGGATGTGTGGCTCAGAGCAGATGTTAACATGTGTTAACCCTCTGTGGCAGGCATGTGCTTATAGATCACAGGTCCTACTACAACCAGGCAGTGACTCCACAGGGAATCTGTGAGTCTCACCAGGAAGTGGGGAAAGAGGACTTTCCAACCTACTACCTCCTTCCAATGATTCTGAGCTACATCTCCCACATCCCCCTTCCCATTTGCTCCCTTTCTCTCACCCCACCAAGAGCTGTTCAGCAGAGAGACAGGCTGTCCCTTCCAGGAATGCTAGGATTGTGCCAAAGCTGGGAACCACCGGCAAAGGACTGAGTCCCAGCCTGTCCTACCTCACTGCACATCAGACTCACCCAGGGAGGCTTTAGAAATAGTGACCAATTGTCTCACGAACTCTGGGGACAGGACCCAGCCATGGGAACACCTTTTTTAGCATCCCAGGACGTTCTCAGTGCGTCCAGGGCTGAAGCACCAGTAACGCATACAAGTGTGCACACCTGTAGGCAGCTCCCAGGAGCAGGCTCAGGATTCCCAAGGCGTGTACGCCCCTGGCCAGGCAAGAGGAAGCCAAAGCCCAGGCACAGAGCCGCAGGAGGGTGTCCCACAGAATGCCTAGTGGAGAGAAGACAAACTCAGCCCAGCCCAGCAGAGAACAACTTCTGAGGTGTGGCAGGAAGGAACCACCCCACACCAGGGAGCAGAGATCTGCTCAGCTCTGCTGCTCCACAGCAGCCACTCCCCCTTCCCAAACCCCTTCCTTTTCACCCCACAGAGCAGACGGGCAGTGCTGACCTGTCAACATGCTGGAGAAGAGCATGGCTGGGAAGTAGTGGTGAAAGTAGAGGATCCGGCCCATCAGGAAGAATGGGAAGTAATGGAGCACCCACCCAAGCAGCACCTGGCCTCCTCCTCGCAGCAGGATCTTGGTCAGCCCTGGGCCCCAAGCAGCACAGCCCCAGTCAGGAAACAGGGAGGGCAGACAGCCTGGGCACAGTCCAGCTCTGCCCTCCTCGCCCTGTGACTCTGAATAAGTACAGTGCCTCACCAGGCCTTCCTTCCCTCAGGTGCAGCAACCCAAACAACCTGATGGCGGCCAGAGAGAGGAGCAACTGGGTCGAGAGCCCTGGCCAGAGCCCAGCCTGGAAAGGCCTTGGCACCACGGCAGGGGCACGGCATGCCAGCAGGGGGCCTGATCTGGTGTCTGGGCAGGAGGGAACCTGGCTCTAAAAATACCCAATCTTGCCCACCTACAGACCCAATCCTCCCCTCCCTGCCTCCACAGCCACAGACCCTTGCAGCAGCAAACAGGGATGGAAGTGAGGGTAGAGAGCAGGATGGTACCTGACACCATAACTGTTGGGAGAGGGAGGTGCAGGGTGAAAGGGCCTGTGTGGTGTCTCGGATGCTGAGGTCCATGCCTGACAGCTAAAGCAACCAGGAGCAGCACCAGGACAGGAACCCACTGCCAGCCTATCTGACGTACGGCAGAAAGGAGCCACCCCACGCCAGGGAGCAGAGATCCCACTAGAGGACAGGGCCACGGAGCACGGAGGGGCAGAGCAGAGAAGATGGGCAGCTTTCGCTACAGCATAGGGGTAAAAATGAAGGCTCTGGAGTTGGACTGCTAGGGTTTGAACCTCAGCACTCTTATTCCTGGGGCAAGTTCCCTAATCTCACTATGCCTCAGTTTCCTAATCCATAGAATGGGGTAATAATACACTACACCCCAGAGTGTTGGGAGGATACAGTGTTGAAACGGCAGTGGGTGTCTGGTGACTAGGCTTTCAAAAAACAAGAAGGGAAAGCATGAGTGGTGAGGGTAAGGGACACCCTCCGCCCCCAGCAGGCAGGCCCTCTAGCATGCAGGCTGCTACTAGCTGCTAGGTGGGGCAGGGAGAACCCAGCAACCTGACCTTCCACCTCAGCAGGCAGCTGTGCCCCTCTCTGTATGGCGATGGCAGCAATGCTCCCTGAGAGGAGGTAGAGGGCAATGCTCACCAGATTCAGCCACCAGATCACCTGCATGGAGATGAAAACCAGAGGATGAGAGGAAAGGAGCAGCTCTCCACAGGCAAGTGTAGGAGGCCCTGAGCCAAGAACATCTGGGCACTCACCGGATTGCCAAGCAGATAGACCCGGAAGTCTGTGTCATTTGCCCCTGAGAAGCGTAGGCCCTGTGGAACAGAGCACAGCTTGCTGATCCAGAGCCCAGCTAATCCCCAGCCACCCATTCGAGGGCGGAGAAGACTCTTCACCCTTCACAGACAGGTAGCCCAGACAGGAGTTCAGAACATGCAAATTCCACCCGAGTTCCCTGGGGAGCTGGAGTCAGCATCAGGGCAGAAAACGGAGCCCAGCTCTGGCCCGCGCATCCCAGGAGAGGCCTCCCTGTGCCACCCCAGCACACCCTAGCCCTGTGCAATCTTCACGAGTCTCTTTCTGGGCTCCATTTCCTGGAGGAGCTCCAGCCATAGGCCATACCTGGTAGTTGATGGGCCAATGCCAGGGTTTGGATGTGAACTCATTGTCCTTGGGTTTAAGGCCATTGTTCCCCTGCAGGAAGGTAGCAAAGAAAAGCTGGTCAATAAGGAGATCTGGAAGGCTGAGAGAAATGTGAGGCTCAACTATCTTAGATATAAGCCAAGTGTCAAGAGCAATCCTCCCTCTCTCCTCTCCCTCCCATGCAGGGAAGAGTCAGGTGCCCACCTGCAGCCACTGTCCACTGCCTACAATAACTGCCATAATATTCTTCCCCGAATAAACAAGCTCCACTTGCCATCAGAGGCCATCAGACCCTCTACGCTAGAGAGAAAGAAGGGGAAGAGGAATGAGGGACTTGTTTCCATTAAGCGCAAAAAACACACCCGTTGCCAAGTCAAGGACAGTGTCAGGAGGGCAGGTTGGGGAATATAAATCAGAGCTTATTTATTCAATTTCAAACAGAAAAGCAGAGACTCTGAGGCGTGTCTGGACCTGGAAAAGGTTCTTTTAGCCTAGTGTTTCCCACCGTCTTTTCACCCCTCACCACCAGGAGCCTTTTTAGACATTTTCCCCCAAATGCACCCCATGATATTTTAATAGTTTAGCCATACTGTACGTCTGTTTATGTGCTACTATATCAATACCTGGGCTCTGTACAGAAAAATGGCAAGACTCTGCTTTCCTCTCCAAGCTGATATTTTATCTACTGGGAGAGAAATCACTCTCAAGTGCACACTTCAGCCTGAAGGACCTAAACTTGGCCTCTCTAATTCAGCAGCCAAGAATATCCAACAACTTGTCCCACCATGGCAGAATCAGGCCTTCACTAAAATGGAAGGGAACAGGGTCAGGACCCTGGACATTAGGCACCAGGGCTGGGCAGCCTCTTTATCAGCACAAACTGAGAAGACACCACAGAAGGGGAGTCAGGCACTCCAACTTAGGTTGGCATTCCAAGTCTTGCCACCCTTGACACTTGGGGCCAGACGAGCCTCTGTCTTGGGAGCTGTCCTGTGCATTCCAGGATGTTCAGCACCCCTGGCCACTACTCACAGGGTGCCAGCAGCACTCCCATATCCCAACCCTCAGTTATGTCTGCCAAAAATTTCTCCTAATGTTGCCAAATATTCACAAGCAGGTTCTGAACTGAGAACCACCAATCTAGCCCAAGAAAGGTCTAGAAGTTCTGGTTCAATGAACTGTCACTCAGAGCCTTACTCATTCAACTCTTTGAGGGCTTAGAAATAGTTTATGAGTCTTCATATGGTGATTAGGTGGCTCCTATAGGGTCAAAGTACCATGGCGGGTGTCAGACCCAAAGAGGCAGCTATCCCACCCGTCAATCACTATGGCCATCTGAAAAGCCTTGAACCCCTGGAGCAGTGACTGAGGAAACTCAGCTCCTTCAGACAGTCAGCTGAGTCCCAAACTCAAACTCAGGAACTCCAGTCAGAACTGTAACTAGTCAAGGGATCCTATTTACTACATCAAACTCAGAGAAATCCGGCTCCTTTACTAAATCAAGAGATGGAAGGAGGGGAAATCTATAACTAACAGAGGTATATATGTTTATAAGTTGTCTTTCATGTTGCAAACCCAGAAGGCTTACTCCAGCTAACCTCATCAGATAAGCCAGTCTTCTCCACTCAGATCTCAGCTGGCAGAAAACCAGACACACAGACACACACAAACACACACACCCCCTACAATTTCTGTAGCCTGAACTCACTGTTTTGATCTCTCCCTGACTCTACATTGGTTAAATAAGAGAACTCTCTTGCATCCTTTTTCTTCTTCGATAATGAAAAAATGAATGAAACTTTTTAGACTTCCTCATTTACTCTTAAAATTCTTTCCAGACTTAGACTGATATTCTTACTGACAGGCACATATTTAAAAGAGCTATGTCATCAGGCCACAGTGACAGTTACAAGCAAAGAGTCAGAGAGGAAGTGACCCAGAGATGGCTTAATGTCAACTCATCACCTCTCCATGTGCAAGATGACAAAATCTGAATTTTAAAAGTTTAATCTGGTGAAATAAGTCAACTATGTTTACTGAGTAGTGCTGACATAATCACTTCTGGCAAAGTCCACTTGACAGTGGGTCACAGAGGAAAGATAACAGCCCTATACCTCCCAGCTCAGTGGGTGGCTGAGGACCTGCCATCTCACTTGAGATACGGTGGTTCCTCAGTATCACTGCTGCAGGACTCAGGTTTCTCAGAAACCAGAGCAAGGGGGGGGTGGGTCTCCCAGGGAGTACCAGAACTGCAGGGAGGTCTCCCCAATTCACAGGGGAAATTTAAGCTAGTGGACAGAATTTTCCCAATTTAAAGATTTCCTCTCTCAATTTTCCTTAAACCTGCTGTCAGCTAGCAATGACAAAGTGCAAAATGAATCTTAAGAAACCTTAACAAGAGTCAGCCATGCCCCCTAAATAGTTTCTGTCCAGGAATATGGGTGGACTCATGGTTGGAATTATATGTTTAACATCCACAACAAATTCAAATTAGCTATTCATTATAATAGATCCTAATCTCTTATGGAGTGAACTATCAGTGTCTCATGATCTTCAACCAAGAGACTGTGGCTTTCAGGAGTCCTGCCACTGGTACTGATTTGCAAATCAGTAGAGGGAGAGAAGTATCACAGTAACTGGCACTGACTCTGAAAGCCCACTAGCCTAGCTTTGAAGCCTGGATCCACTTTTGGCACAGAGCTCTGTAACATGGACAAGTTCCTTAACCTTTCTAGGTTTCTGTTCCCTCTTGTATAAACTGAGAATGACAATAATCTCCACAGGATTCTAATCAGTTTTAAGTGAGTTAATGTGGGCTGGGGATGTGGCTCAAGCGGTAGCGTGCTTGCCTGGCATGCGTGCGGCCCGGGTTCGATCCTCAGCACCACATACAAAGATGTTGTGTCCGCCGAAAATTAAGTGAGTTAATGTATGTACAGTGCTTAAAATAGTGCCTGGAACATAAGTGCTACACAAGTGCTCCCTGATATTAAGGTTGTTGTCATCACCATCATCACCACCACACCACCTTCCTCATAAGGGAAATGTGATATGTGATAAGGGAAATGCCCCTGAAGATGAAGCAAACCAGTAGATGAAGACACTTTCAAAGTCCTCCACAAGGGGGCAGTGGATCTACATCATGGTTACTGATCTGTGCTCCAAATCTGTCGCTGCTCCAAAGTACTTAGAGAATAAAAAGGGACCACAATACCCGGATCATGACCATGTGGGACTCCAGCAAGATCTCAGGAAAACTGGGCTGCAGCACATCCAGGCTGATATTTGGCACTAGGAAGAAAAACACATTCTCTCTTCACTGTCCATCCACGGTGTCCACATTCCCATCAGGAAACTGCAGCCTTCTTGACAAGCTGACAAGTAGGTGACAGTGTTAAGGATCATTTATTCAGCTTACTTTGAGCATGCATGAGGCATTCTGAGAAATACAAAGGAAAAGAACCACGAGGCCCGCTTCTGTGGTGTTCCAACAGCTCTCGGCGCGCCACTCCTCAGGACCTCCTGTCAGATCTGGGTGAGGACAGGGCCCAGGTCTGCCTCACTGCCAACAGAGCCACAGGCCCCACACAGTTCCTGGCATACTCAGTAAAGAGCTGCTTCATGAGTCTGATTAGCTAAGGTGGTAAGGATGGGATGGGAAGCACAGGAAGGAGAACTTCAGCACAAGCCTGAAGGGGAGTTCAGGAAACAGACGATGGACCCAAACACTCAAGTGAGCTAAGGCTGAAGCTGAAGTGGAGATGACAAATGGAGCTGGGAGCAAAGGTGAGGGACCAGATCAAGGCTGTAGCCAGGGGCTTCTCTCAGTGGCAGGCTGGATTTAGGAGAGGAGGAGCTCTGCCCAGGCAAAATGGGCGAGGACCAGCTGCTCCCAGCCTAGAGGGTGCAGAGGTACTCTCCAGGGGCAGAGACAGAAAAGCCCAGAGGGAGACACAGGGTTCTGCAGGAAGTCACTGGTCACCTTAGGGAGAGGAGTTTAAGGAGGAAATGGATGAGAAGAAAAAGGAGTTAGAAGGATTGGTATTCACAACTCTCAGGAAGACACTCCAGTGAAAAAGAAGTGGCAACAATAAGATGAAACGGTTGCAGAATCTATGAAGGTTCATTTCTCTATAAGGTAACTGTTCATTCAGAGCCAGCTGGGAAGTTACCTCACTCACATTTGGGATTGATATGGTCCTCCACATTCCAGATGGAGTTGAGGGTGTCTTTTAGATATGGTGTGCAGGTAACTTCCAGCTGCTCCCAGCCCCTGTGAAGAGTAGTCAAAGATGTCTACTTTGACTACAAAATACCCTCAACCCCTCACCCTACCCCAGAGCACATCCACTGCTCTTAAACCTGTGGAACCCCTCTCTTTTCAAGCCAGGGGCCATTATTTTCTCAATCTTACACTTTCATATTCCACAACCCTCCTAGGACTGGGCTAGGACATATTTTATGAAAAGATAGACCCAGAGAGTTATTATCACAAGCCAGATGTACAGATGTTCAGCTGTCAGAGCACATAAAATACCAAGGCTACCCTGGAGCTCTGTGCTCTGTAGTATACTTGATGCCTCTTCTCCTTCCATCTACAGCAAGGAGAAGCAACCTGAGGCAAACACTGACCATGGGAAATGGAAGCTCTGGCATTCTCCCTGCAGCATAAAAGAAAAAGCCCGAGCTCGATCAGGACTTCAGCACTCTGGAGACTTACCACTTGGGCAGAACCTTTCCTGAGGAGCCCAGGACACAACCTGTGACCAGATGAATGAGGCGAATTCGACTTCTCAGCACTTTTATCCGGTTCCCAAATTTTCTGTTAATAACCTCAATCCGCCAGAAATCATTTGAGTCCCCCGTCCCATTCTGCCACATAAACCAAGAAAAGAATACAAAATAAGATGACTTTAGAGAAGAAGTGTCAGAAAGGGAAATGGCCCCCCTTTAAACTGCCACCATATTACAAAGGTCAAACACCAAATCAGCCTCAGTGACTGAAGCAGGAAAGGGAAAAGGCCATAGAAATATCCCAAGTGACTGACATTGCCTCACACTCATGTGTAAAACTAGAGCAGCATGTTCCACTCCTGGAACCAGAAGTCCAATCCTTCACTTCACAGGGCTAGAGTTAAAGCACTCAATAGATATTTTTGCCCTTAAACCAAATTCAAGACTAAATTTGCCCTGAGCCAACAGAAGTAAATCATAAACCAATTGCATTCATTATCTTGGCACGTGGACAGTCACTCATGTAAGCCAGAAAGGCCTGGCCTGGATGCTGTACCTTGGAAATTAAGACAGTGGCATTTAATTGTCCTCAAGAGATTCCCACAAGAAAAATGATACGGACAGTCAGAGTTGTGACTAGTACAATGTGGGATGAGCAAGTAGGAGGGTTGGGAAATCCATCTTAATGAACCCATGGAATCTTTACCAAAGCACCAATGATGATGGAAAAAAAATGTAACTCACGGAGCTACCTTTTGTGGGTGGGGGCAGTACTAGGGATTGAACTTTTCTGGCATTGAGCTACACCCTCAGCCCTTTTTATTTTGAGACAGGGCCTTGCTAAATTGCACGGGCTGGCCTTGAACTTGAAACCCTCCTGCCTCAGCCTGCTGTAATCTGTGGCTCAGATTAAAGGCATGTGACATTACACCTGGCACTCAGAGAACTTTATTAAGTCCATCTCCCTGAGGCAGTTAATATAAAAGCTGTGTGGATAATATCCCTCTGTAGACCAGGGAAGAGATCCTTAAAAATAAACCCAGTGAGAATTTGGGACCTGAGGTAGGATACCTGAATCATCCCCACTTAATCTACTCCCATTACAATTTTTGTAAAGTGGGGATGTGTGGACAATCAGAGGGCTTTAATAAACTAATTTATTTAGCTTTCTATAATAAACTCTTACTGTTATTCATAAATAACAATGAATCTATATCTAATCATTTCTACGTATGAAAACTTTGCAAGGCTCCTTCTGCTATTCTATACATTGTTGCTAGAAAATCATTTATGAAAAACTCAGTTCATGAGGCCACAGGTAGTTCTTGGCTTCTATGTTTAATGTAATTTTAAGAGACCCAAATAGCATTCATATTTAACATTTACTGTGAATCAGGATATGTAAATGATAGTTATCATATGAGAACAGAATGGAAACAAGCAGACTTCAGAGGCTGCTCTGCTCACAGCAAACCTAGACAAAAAGTTCTCAAATGTTAAGACAGTCCATGCACAGCTGGCAATCCTTAGGAATTCCAGAAGTCTTGGGTGGATGTGTCCTGACAGGCCTCCCTGAGCCAAGCCACACAACTTTTGACATCCTGCTCACACCCCAGCTGCTCACTTACTATGCCATAGCCGGTGACCTGATAGTGCTTCCGGGTCAGGGGGGCCTCATGATAGTGACTGTGCAAGTTCCGAGAGGTCCTAGGAGTGAGAAGAGAGAAGAGCTGTTACCTGAAGAGATGAGCAATGTTTCCTCCTTTACTGAGGATATATCTGTGAGGACAGAAAAATTAGCACCTGAACTATTAATTCCAACATATCAGGAATTTGTTGCCCATTCACTCACAAGAAACATCCAGAAAACTGGAGAAGAGGAGCTCAAACTGAGAAGGAGAAATGGTAGGAGCACTGGACTATGTGCCAAGAAAGGAGATAAACTCTGGGTGTTAGCAGGGTAGGTGGTGACTTTCAAACACTTGGTTGTTTTGAAGCACTTAGCCTGCCTGCTTAGGAGGTGGGTCTGGGGAAGAGAAAATCAACTTGATCTATACATGCCTGAGGTGGGCTACCTGCCCCATCCCCACTTAATCTACTCCCATTACAATTTTTGTAAAGTGGGGATTTGTGGACAATCAGAGGGCTTTAATTAACTAATTTATTTAGCTTTCTATAACAAACTCTTACTGTTATTCATAAGTAACGAATGTTCATTATAAAATTTTTGAAAATTTGCAAAAATAAAATTTATAATCATAAAAATTTAAAGGATGTAAAATCCAACTGACAAGAGAGAAACTACTGGCAATTACTTTCGTGCATGTGTGTGTGTGTGTGTGAGTTGTGTGTGTGTGTATGTGTGAGTGTGTGTGTGCGCACGCACGCATGCATGTGTGTATCATCCCTGATTTCTTAAAAATCTATATCTAATCATTTCTATGTATGAAATCTTCACAAGGCTGCTTCTGCTATTATTTTTCTTTGTTCTTACACATAGTGCTCTATTTCCTTGAGTGATTTATTTTTGTGTATATTCATGTATTTTGAATACACTGTTGCTAGAAAACCATTTATGGGAACAGATTGCAGTGTCTTTTCCAAAGGAGAATTTGCATTTAGCCAGTCTAAGGTCACGTTCATTAAATTCATTGCTTGAATGATTTTTGAGACCACCCAGGTGACATGAAGATCACCCACATGAAGATCAACTGGTAGTTACTTCTCAGGAACTGCCCAACCCTCAATACTCTGCTGGGTACCAAAGTCACTCTACCTGGGGACAAGTGAATAGTAGATTTACCCTTAGCCTATGACTCTTAGGGTTCCAGATTTGGGGAAACATCACTTAATTTTGTTTTTTGATATGCTGGGGATTGAACCCAGGGCCTCATACTAGGCAGGTGCTCTATCACTGAGCTACATCCTTAACCTAATAAATTTACCACTTTGGAAGAGACTAGAACTTTGACTTTCAAACCTTTCTCAAGGGGTAGTCAAAACAAAAGATCAAAATGAAAGACCAAAACTCAGAACTAGAGGATCCAGGTGAAGTGCCTTCAGGGCCCTACTTATTTTTCTGGATTCCATCTTTCACTTAGATTTTGGCCTAGGAAGTCTTTCATATCTTGTCGCTATTTTATGCTTTTAAGAAGTAGTTTTTATATTTTCCCAGCATTTTTAGTCACTTCAGTGAGAACACTAGTGAAATAAACGAGCTTGTCATACTCTCAGAATTTGATGCTTACATTTTCTAAAAGTGGCCAATTAAGAGGAAGTTTTGGACAACTCAAACTTTTTCTCCCAGGAAAAGGGAAACCGAAAGGTGCCCTCAGAGGTCAAAGCTCCCCAGAGCCAACGCAGGCAGCGGCTGACCCGCCTTATGCCTTACCTTCATAGCTGGTTCTTCTCATTTTAGCACCGCAGCTTCATTCCCTGACTACAGCCTCAGCCAAACCTGACTTTCCTATATTTTATTTCATAAAAAACTCCTATCCCACTCATTACCTAAACAGCAAGTTCACTTAACTCTTTGTGTTCCAGTCGAACGATGTCTCCATGTCTCACGAATTCCACTGGGAATGAAGGGTCTAGGGGATCTGCTGAGAAGAAACAAGCATTAATACGGGTCATTCACTCACCAGGCCAGTATTGATGGAGGGCCTGCAGGAAAGCAGTGCCAGAGGTACTAAGAGTGCCGTGGGACCAAAGAATAGGGAGCCCAATCGCCTCAGAGGATCAGAGAAGGACGTCCGAAAGATCATGCTTGAAAACACTCTTAAAGGGGAGAATTTCACCAGGTGAACAAGTCAGGGAAAGGCACAGAGCTATGAAAGAACAAACTCATGTGACCAACAGCACGTGGCTTCATGTAGTTAGAAGTGTAGGCAGGCAGGGAGTGGGCTCAGGAGACAGGGTGGAACGAGTGGTGCCATGCTGTGTACAGACAAGCCAGGTAACATGGACTTCATCTGGCAGGCCTTTATCTGAAGCCCCCATGGGAACTGAGGCTGGGAAGCTAAATAACAAGATTTTCTTTTATAAGTAATAAAATAGTCTTCCAAAAATTCCATGAAAATCACCATCTCTCTTCAAAATCAAATCTTATCTCTGATAATAGACTTGGTAAGTGTGAAGAAAACGATGAAATGATGAAAGAAAAGGACTACTTCTGTGTCATGTGGAAATCAAGACTGTTCAGGATCTGGAAAGGCCATAAGGAAAAGGCCCTGGCAGTCATCAGAGCAATGCAAACTGTACTCTTGCAAATTTCCGTTCCACACAGTGAAACCAATATTCTATGAATAGCTCAAGGTCAGGAAAGATAAATTTGCCAATGCAAATTACTGGCTCTCAAGAGAATTAGAGAACTTGACTGCACAGATGCCCATTGCTCAGTTGCTGTTTAGGGACTCCTAAGATTAATTAGCAAGATGACAAATCAAGGAAGTCAATAGAGAGGGAAGTTTTATTTCATATAGGCAGTGGGGAGGGGCATTTACATTCATCAACACAAAGACCTTAGGCTATTAAGTTCCCAGAAAATCCTTAGTTGTTTAGACAAAATGGAATAAGAGACGAGGGATGTCCAAAAGATTTGGTTCAGATCCACATGTATGGCCTTTCCTCCTAACTCTTTACTGTGGACCAGTTATGTTGGCCTGATGCATCAAAACACAATCAATGGCCAGGCGCAGCGGTGCATCACTGTAATCTCAGTGGCTAGGGAGGCTGGGGCAGGAGGATCGCAAGTTCAAAGCTAGCCTCAACAAAAAGCATGGCACTAATAAGCAACTCAGTGAGACCCTGTCTCTAAATAAAACACAAAATAGGGGGTGCTGGGCCTGTAGCTCAGTGGTAAAGCGCTTGCCTCACTTATGTGAGGAACTGGGTTCGATCCTCAGCACCACATAAAACATAAAGATACTGTGTGTCCATCTACAACTAAAAAAACATTTAAAAAAATACAAAATAGAGGATGTGGCTCAGTGGCTGAGTCCTGCTGAGTTCAATCCCTGGTACCCCCAAAAAAAAAACAAAAACAAAAACAAAAAACCAAAACACACACACACACTCTCTCTCTCTCTCTCTCTCTATTAGTATTATAAGAATATAAATTATGGTGTCATTTTTCTATTATTGAGGATACAAATATACAGATGCAAAGATAGTGGTTGTGTATGACATGTTTCTAGTCTAAAAAACTGAGGCAATAAAAGGAGAGAGAAAAAGAAAATGGATTTAGATGAGCAGCTGCCCATTTTTCCACAAAGGCTCATGAGCAGCTGGCCAAGAACAGGCTACACAGGTGTTGTCTGCTGAGTTACAGGGAATGCCTGTGACACAGGAGATTGACATGAGGATGGGCTCAGAAGGCACCATGATTATGCCCTCTGTTCTGAGCTGTGGCAGAAGACAGCCTGCAGGTAGCTAGTTACTGGACCAAAGAGAGGAAGAGCCAACTATAGCTCTTACTCTGGCCCTAAAGCCTGGAGGGCTCCATTCAGAGCTACTCTGCCTAGACCTTGAGGCAGATCAGCAGGCTTCCAGTGCTATCCCAAGCACCTGCCTAGACTAGCCCAGCAGGAGAGATGGCAGGTAGGGTCTGCACAGCTTGGTGTGCTCTATATCAGAAATGAGAGCAGCTGCCAGGTTCCCTGGCTTGGGGCTGGCTACTCCCCAGCTTCTGGTGTGGCATGCTCAGGTAACCTCTTCCTAGATGAAGTCTGAGCCCTGTCCCTGCTCAATGACTTCAAAATAACAGTGCTACAAGTGTTTATCTGTTTTACTCACTGCTTATCCCCTGCGCCTACAACTGTGTTTAAAAACACAGTAGAAGCTCAATTGATAACTGCTGAAAGAATAACTGAGATCAGTAAAGATGCTGTCAGAGATGCTTGGGGAAGCCCATCTCAGTACCATTTTTCTGGAAGCAAGAAAAATGTTGAAGACTCAGAGGAAATAATAATAATACAAGAAGCACCCATTCCCAAGCACATTACCTGAGTTTGTATTGTGTTTCTTGATGATCCACAAGTTGTTATAGTCCTTGTGCAAATAGGTGGTGACCTGGATGGGAGTGGGACAGAGGAGGAGATGGGAAGAGAATACCATCACTATAACAGAGCTGGCCGGGACAATCCCCAGCAAACCAGCACATTACCTGAGTCTCTTTCAGAATCTCCCAGCCAGCAGCCCAAGTGCCATGTTTCCCAACAGACTCAGGGGCAGCATTGCTGAGTGAGATTCTTCTTCTTCCTTCTGGATTTAGAGGCCCTGTCCCTCCAGAACATTTGAATTCATTTTTGTATATCATTCTGTGTGTTATCATTAAAGTCCTATCCTTCTAGAGGGAGGAACCATGATACCTTGTATAACAGTCTCCAGCACAGATGAGTACATTTTAAAAAGGAATTCATAGCTGAGTGCGGTGGTACACATCTGTAATCGCAGCAATTCGGGAGGCTGAGGCAGCAGGATCACAAGTTTGAGGCCAGCCTCAGCAATATAGTGAGACTCTGTCTCACGATAAAAAATAAAAAGGGCTAGGGATGTGGCTGAGTGGTTGAAGTACTCCTGGGTTCAATCTCTGGTACCAAGAAAAAAAATGCACAAAAAGTAATTCATACCATGCCTCAAACTTTCTAAGTAAAAATTCCATGCCATTGTATTTTCTATAATGTAGACAAATGAAACCAAAAAGCTCCATAAATATCTCATCCTAGAGTCATGGCCATTTTGTACACAATGATTTTAAAAAATAAATGTGTGAGCGCT